TATAATTGCCAACTGAAAACTTCGAATATATTTATAACCCTTTTCTTAAAGTTCTTACGCGGGAGACACAAACACAATCATTGAAAAAGACAACAGAAAAAAAAAGATGAAAGAAGCTACAAAAAGTATATGAAAAGAAAATCCTAATAAATGAATGAGTGGAAAAAACCAAAGTAGGCAAAAGAATTTGCGTCCGCGTAGGCGTAGAATAGCCCTTTGGATTTGGATCGCCCTCCTAACCTTTGGGAGAAAATCTTCTCTCCCCATAATATAATCTATAGGTTGTTGTTTAGGTAATTACATAAATATTGTATTTTTTTAAAATTTACCATCAATATGGTGAAGTAAAAAGTATTGACACAAATATTGTGTTTAGGAGAGCAAAACCAGCGAGAATTCCTGAGACTCAGGTGCTGCCGCTATTTTTGTTTTTTTTGGATCATTTGATTAAGGTGACAGCGGCGGCGCCCAAGACTGAGGTGGTACCGCCTGAGACTGAGGCGAGTTGGTGGGAATTTGTACCTGGCGATGGCGCCCAGGAATATGGCGGGTTCGTTGGCGTATTGCTGGCTACCCCCCTATAAAACCAGCGAATTTCGTTTCAGTTATTCACCACAAAAAAAAAAAAAAATTCAACGAAGTTTGAGGAGAAGAAGCTCTGGTTGCTGCTGCAAAAATGGCTAATAGGTAAGAGACACATTTATTTTTTTAATTATATTATTCAAATGCTATTATGATTTTGTTTAGTTAATTAGTGAGTTTGTTTTTTTTAGTGATTTTAGAAGATTTGAACTAGTCGTTCGGTGGAAATCGGAGAAAGTAGAGGATAATTTGGGCGTCAAATTCGTTGGTGGTAGTAGTTTTCAGTTGACGGTTCCATCCAGGGTGACATATCACAAACTTTGTGAGAATATAATTCTGAGAATACGGCGTAGAGACGAAGCAGTACAAGATAGTGATGTTATCACAGGTTTCACTTACCGTCTTCCAAAATGGCAGAATGATGTTTTATTTCATTATTCGATGCCTATTTTGGATGATGATAGTTTGAATGTGCTTTTCGATTTTATGGCACAAAACCCTTATTGTTTGGGTGCTGAGATACATGTTGAGTTCAGTGAGAATCGGGATGGAGAGGAAGAAGATACATGGAGCATGCCATCCGATCATGACAATGTTGACGGAGAGGAGGAGGAAGATGGCGAAGGAGAGCAACCTAATTATCCTCCATATTTTTACTTGCAGGGTAATGAAGAGGACGACGAATTATCATATGCTGATTCATATGGCGTAATTCCAATGCCTGTTGTTGCTAGTTTTGAAGGAGAATTCTACAAGGGGCAGATATTTCACTCGAAACAAGCTGCACAGGTTGCGATTAAATACCACGCACCACAATGCAACTTTCAATATGGCGTGGTGGAGTCGTCACCTTCAATCTGGAAGGTCAGGTGCTTGAAGCACAAGAATGACAATTGTCCCTGGATGGTGCGGTTTGGATGTCGAGATGTTGGAAGCGGATGGACTGTGAGAAATGGCAAGTTGGTGCATTCTTGTAGCAGTACGACTCAACCGACGGATCATCGTTATCTTGATGTCGATATTATATCTGAGGCCATCAAACATTTGGTACGTGCCCAACCAAATCTGAGTGTTCTAACTGTGCATGCCGAGTTGAAAAATAAGTTCAATATGCAAGTTACTTACAAGAAGGCTTGGTATGGGAAACAAAGAGCATTGGAGAGGTTGTATGAAAATTGGGAAGCATCCTACGATTATTTTCAAACATTCTTGCGGATGGTAAAGAGAAAAATGCCAACATCAGTGATTGATTGGGTAAGAGTTCCTTCAGTTCAACCAGGTCATTCGATATTTCAGCGAGTATTCTGGGCTTATGGACCCTGTGTAGATGGATTCAAGAATTGTCCAGGAGTCATGGTTGTTGATGGAACATTTCTTACTGGAAAGTATAAAGGAGTGCTACTCATGGCGAGCTCATTTGATGGCCGGAAGAAGATTTTTCCAATAGCATTTGCCATCATGGAGAGCGAGAATACTGAAAGTTGGCCATGGTTCATAAATCACGTTCAAGGTTTGACCGATCGAAATGATGTCTGCATCATCTCGGATAGACATGCGGGACTCTATGAAGCCATGGGTGACATCGGAAGAGGTTGGGAGTGGAGGTGTGCGTGCGACACTACGCAAGCAACTTGCAAAGAAAGACTAAAAGCAAAATAATGTATAAGCAACTATTTCGAGTCGGTAAGCCTTCATTTAATTTTGTTATTTACTTTAATGTAATTTTGTCATGATTTTATCTAACTCGTGTGGTTATTTACTTTGTTAGCCGGAGAAAAACACTTGGAGAAGTTCGATCGTCAAGTTGAGCAATTTAAGAAGGTGGCCGCTGATAGGAATATTTCTTGTGATAATTGGGTGGACCAACATCAAATTCGTTGGAGCTTAGCGCATGATAACTATAATGGTGGGCGTCGATGGTCTATCATGACATCCAACATGGCATAGAGTATCAATAGTGTTTTCAAAGGTATTCATTCACTTCTCATAGTTTCTCTTGTGCAACATACCTATTGGCGATTGTTGGAGAAATTCGATAAGATGAGGTTGGAGACAGAAGCACAAATAAGAAGTGGTCTTTCACAGTACTCCATCAAGTGCGAAGAGCTGATGAAGCCGTGGTCACAAAAGTCAGTTGGACATTCCGTGACAGCGATTGATCGACGTCAATGCATCTATGTAGTTCAGACTCCTCCCAACAATTTCAACATGACGGGGTCAAACACACTCACAGTGCACTTCGACGACCGCAACCGGGCATGATTTTGCACTTGTGGGAAATTTCAAGTAAATAAAATTCCTTGCTCTCATGCCATTGCAGCTTGCAACCGAATGGGGGCTAATCCATATAGGTTTGTAAACGATGTCTACAAGGTTGAAACGGTGCTTGCTTATTATGTGGCAAGTTTTACACCTCTTGGTGAACCTAAGGGTTGGAAGAAGCATAATGGTCTTATTCTCCATCCTAATGTGCACATGATTAGAAAGCCGGGGAGGCCACGAGTTACAAGAATTCACAACGAGATGGATTGGCCAAGAGAGGGTGTATCACAAACAGTGTGTAGCAAATGTAACCAAAGTGGCCATAATGCATCAACTTGTGGTGGCCAAACAAGTGGGAGTGGGAGCCAGCGAAGAGGAAGTGTTGGCCAACGACGTGCGAGAGGTCGTGGAAGAGGAAGTAGTGGTAATAGACGTGGTATGTAGTTTGGTCGAATTTTTATCAAATGTAGTAGTAATTGTTTTTCAAGTAGTTGTTATGGTTTGAAGTAGTGGTTGTTTTTCCATGCGTAGGTTGTTGTTGTTGGCCAAATTATAAAATGTCCGAGTTGTTGTTTGTTGTTCCGAATAGTTATCGTTAATAACATAATACATGAAGTTAAAAATAGTCCACATAAATATCCCAAAGATGTAAATAATAATAACATAACAAAAATAATAGTCTCACTAACGACCACGACGACAACCACGACCACGACGACGACCACCATGCTCCACTCTAGATGGCCGCCAGTACCACACCTCGCAGGCACCCTGTTACGTGGAGGCCTACCATCATACTGTTGGGGCTGATCTCCCTCGACACCACCATCCTGATCATGTGTACCGAACATATCATCCTGTTGAGACTGAATCTGCTCCTCAGGTACACTGCCACCATACTGCTGAGACTGAAGATGTTGCTAAAAATTCCACATTGTCTCCTGAAAGGTCTCATCACCCTTTAGAGCGTCCCACGGGTTGGGAGTAGAGGCTACTCTAGTATCACTATCTGAGGCCATGTATCTGCCTCCCATCGTAGCATGATGCGGTGTATGGAAGCTATCTTCTGGTGGATGGAAGCTCGAAGAAGGATCGGAGTGAAACTGCGGCTGGGGAGGAGGCCAAAAGGCTGAACGAGGTCCTGCCTGAAATCTTGAAGAAGTGGCGCCCGTCTGATGCCCTGAATAATTGCCTTGTTGAAACGACGTATTAAACTGGAAGGTCGTAGTAGGCCGGACGGGCTGTGCTTGCTGTCGATCTGAAATCCGGACTGGGTTAGGTACATCACGATGCTCACGTCGCTGTCTACGTGGCCTATGCTCCTGTCTGAACTATGGTTCCGGGACGACCCAGTCTGGTGTCGGATCAGTACGCTCTGGCCAGGCAGCCATGTTGGGCTGATCATAAGCAGGCTGTATAGGTACTGTGAGATTAGGATGCCTGCGCGGCTGCGCCGCTCCAAACCTAAAGTAGCAACCCCTGATGCCATCATGTTGGCCAAATCCTTACACTGGTAGGTGGACATCCCTCCAGTCTGTACTCCGTCACGTAAACTCAGCTCAGCAGGCTCCAAAGTGTCGTACTAAAACTTAAATTGAAATGTCAAAGATTTCACACAGTTAATAAATTCAAGACAAATACAAAAAAATATTAAACAATAAATAACTAACCAATGCCTCCACTGCAGGTCCTCTCCGTGTGCCTGGACGTTTGGTGACATCTCGATACCACTCCATTACCTCCGAGTGGTAGGCTAAAACCTCCTCACTGTATGGAGTCGTCGTTACGAACTCATGTCGACGGTTCCAGAAAGCAAGCGACTCTCTGGAGGCGTGTACCAACTGCTGCCCACGCGATGGTCCACGAGTAGTCTTGCGAAGGAAAAATCTAACCTCGGCCTCAGGATGTGCGGATGAGGCACAGTTTGCCCCATGCCAAACTGCCGGAGCACGCGGTCTAGATGGTGCCACATCACCGCTGAAAAGCAGATCAGTGGCACTACTGCTCGAAATGTCAGACTGTTTCACACTACATTTGAGATGATGTGCTCTCTCAACGTAAGGTTGTCACTACACAAAAAAAAAAAGTTATTATCCCTAAATCTAAAACAAACAAATGAAAACTATTCTATAAAATGAAATGTTATATACTAACCACCATGGTTTCCATCTCGTCAAACCACAGCTTGTACTGGAATAGCTGGTCACCATATTGACGAGTGTTGGCCGGAAGCCATCGAAGACCACGTGGGATGCATCCTCGGCAATCTGCGCCCTCGTCTTTGAATGTCGCGGTGTCATATGTGGGAATCGCTCCCACGCCCATAGCTGCAGTAGGGCGAGCCATCCACCAAGGTCACCTCCTAGAGAAGTGGAGGAATGTGTAATGTGCAAAGCCGACCTACCCATCTCACGGTACAGGTAGGATAAAAAAGCTTCTCCCCAGGCGAACCGTCCAGCTCTCTGCCAATCCTCAATCAGAAGTAGGTACTGTAGGTGCACCGTAGCTCCAGACCGATCCGGGAACAATACACCTCCCATCAGAGATAGAGCATAAGCTCGTGCAAACTGCTTTGTAACCTCATGGGATGCATTTCCCGACAAATGACTGAATTCATCCCTCAGCCAAACAATCCTAACGACACCGCCTGAAAGATCATCCAGAACCCGTCCTAACAGTCTCAAACAGATCGCCGACACTCCTCATCCGGTATGTCAACTACGAAGGCATCACCGTCGATCGCCAGACCGGACAATGTCACAACGTCCTCTAACGTGATCGTGACCTCACCAAACGGTATATGGACGGTCGACGTCTCGGGTCGCCAACACTCTACGAGCGCAGTAATCAAACTCACATTAGAATTCATAGGGAACAGGGGCAAAACACTAGACAAGCCCGCTGCTCTGAGATATGGCTGATAACGCTCATGGTACCTGACTAAATTGGTCGTACCTCGAACATAGTAAGATCGATCACCAGCCTATAGTGCACAAAACTTATATTAATTCAATTTCATTCGTAATAATTCTAATTTATCTAATATAATCTAAAATTATACTAATTCCAAAAAATTTGATACGTAATTCTATTCTAATTTCAGTACAGTTCAGTTCACCTACTAAAATAATCTAATCTAACTAGCTAATTTAACTTTACATGAATAGTTATCAAATACTTACCTCGTTTGCCCAAACTGAGTCGATACGATGTTGACCATGTCCCCAAAGAAGTACCAGATCGACCGGAGCTGGATCAATTGTCGCAGGCGGTAGTCTCATCAAATAATTGTCCATAAGCCTAGGAAGTGCAAAAGCAACAAACACATTAATTAAAAAAAAAAAAGCCGCCGGCGAGATTCCGGTCGCCGCCGGCTGAGCTCTTTGTGGGGTTCAGAGGGATCATGTGAATGTACGGGCCGGAATCAATCGATCTCCCGGTGAGGGCTATGACGTTGATCGGAGTTGTTTTGGATGAACACTCAGGTTGGGAAGTTGGTCAATATGAAATCCCCTTTGATCTATGGATAGTCCCTTCCTAGAGCTGGTAGCTTGATGCTGATCTTTGATGGCTTCCTCTTATCTGCACGTTGCTCACCTTCGCTTTCTTGAAAGATGATAGTAGGAAAACCCTTACCGATTACGAGCCCGCCTCGACTATTTTTCTCTTTATATATATACATACTAACTCACTGTTCCAATCATTTTATATTATTTATGAATTTATCCACAAACCAGCTTATATACATTTTCCATCAATTATTTGATATAATCACAGTTAACTGATAAAATATGTAGTTTTTTTGGAGCGATAAAATATATAGTCTACTATACGTATATGGCATATATTGCAATGCAAAAAAAAAGTGGAAAATCTTTGTTATATAACATATGTATAACAAATGTAACAAATAAATATATATTAATGATAACTACACATTTGTGTAATTCTGTTCATAGGAAAAAAAGTAGACTTTGTCCCACTAGCATTTGATGAAACACATTTGGTATAGTACTCGACTACTCGTCGACTGGTGACTTGGTGCGCTCCATCTAGTAATCTACAAAAAAGTGAGATTAACCATGCTGCTTGGATTAATCATGGCTTATCTATCTAAATAGGTTGTATTAGAAACACACCTCAATTACATCTAAGATAGTGATAATTCAGTGCACACACGAAATTTCGATTGGAACAATGTACATCTTCTTCCTATGGGGTTTAGTTCTCCGATCCCATTGAAAAATAATGTGGTTTTGTTATAAAAACAAACAAATAAAACAATTGGTATTGAAATTAACATAAACTCATCAAAGTAGAATATGTAGTTTTGAACTTCCTCTCCAAATGCTCTCTCTACAAATTTCATATTCTGAGCTAACTTTATCGTCAAAGCGTAGATCAAAAGCGTTTCCATCTTTACACAAGCTTCTATGCTTAAATAAGATCAAATGAACGAACATACCATTGAAACCAAAATGATACAAATATTTGTATTCCAATTCTCAATCCACTCAATTTTGATTTAATCCCATTCCAAACCGAACTAAGACCATACATAAACCCTAACTACATCCAAACAAACAACCCTTCGAATGATTTCGGTATTTACAATTCACACACGTTTTTGTTTGGTGACCCTTTCTTATTTTTTCCCCAAAATTTCCATTTTTTCTCCCCACATAGTTTCATTGCCGCGTGGGCACGTGTGAGTATAACCACTTTTTTTTCCCCATGTGATAAAACTCGTCAGTCCTCCCACTCCCACTCGTTGTCTTTCTTTTTATATCATAGTGAGCTCTCGCTGAATCATGTGTTTGTCTTCATTGGTCCAGACAAAACATTATTAAACAAAACAAAGGACAAAAGTGGGTTTAATAATTATTTTTGTTTAGCGAAAGTCGTGTTTAACAACGTTTAAACTTCTCTTATTGATTCATTGCTTGTCACGTCCATCTGCCAAAGATAACATAGATTTTTATTAAGCGTGATTAATGAGTTTAGGAGGAGTCCACAGAAAGGATCCTCGACCACTTGGAATTGGCACATGCGCCCCTAATTATTAAATTGTGGGGGAGGAAATTGAGAAATTAAACTTTAGAATTAAGCAAAAATGTGAACATCAAAGACAAGAAACAGCATATAAAACCAAATAATCAATGGAGCTCTTTTCATCAAAATTTTAGCCCCGCAATCTTGTTTTCTTTCCAGTTGAAGTTAGTCATTCGTTTTATAGCGCAATAGATGGATGGTGCAAATTAAACATCGAAACTCCAAGTTGTACAAGCCAAAAAAATTTTTTGGAATGGAGAAATCAATAATTTTTAGAATAAATAGGCAGAAGTCAAACTGCTGAAGATCCACTTCTACTCAAACTCTGGAAGACAGCCTGCAATGAAGGTCATAGTCTTGAATTTGTAAAATGTATGGGTTGATGGTAAGTGTAGACTCTGCATTTTGTTGCTATAACTGGGTGTTATGGGTTGATTCGGTTCGTGATATAATCGAATTTAAAATAAAGAAAAAATGAGAATTAGAATCGGATTAAAAAGTATTTTTTTTGGTTCATTTGGTTTTGATTCAATCCTAACCAAGTTTTCTTTGGCCCATTTGTTCATACTTAAAATAATTTTAGGATCGAAACCAAATCAAAATATATCTTATGCGATCTTATTCGGTCCAAATATCGATTGATCCATATGATTTGGTTCTGTATGGATTGGATCGTTGCCCACCCATAGTTGTAAAAAGTATTATTCATTTTTACATATGATCACATTGAAATTTGTTATTAGGCTGGGTCAATTCATTCTAATAAGTGCATTATTGACTCCAATGTCAACTATGTTTGAAAACCGTCCTATGCCCCTCAACTTGACTCATTAATCCTCAACCCCATAGTAATAGTAAAATTCACAAGCTCATAGCCATCAAGAATGTGTCAACTAATTAAGCATTTCTAAAACCACTAAGGGTGCGTTTGGATAAGTGGATTTTAAATGTAAGGTATTTGAAATATTAGCATTTGAAATGGATGTATTCGAAATATTAGCATTTGAAATACATGTATTTCAAATTCATTGTTTGGATACTCATTTGTAATTTGTTTGTATTTTGTATTTTATGATTTTCAATTTCAATTTTTAATTTTCTGGTCACTTACTACAAATTTTGGTAAATTACAGTTTGGTACCCAAAATTATTTTTTCTTATAATTTAGTACCTAAACTTTTAAAATTTTACAAAAAGGTCCTGAAATTTTGATGGTAAAATTACATTTTGGTACCTTTGTATGTTTTGCCTCACACTATAGTACCTAAACTTTTCATATTTTACAAATAGGTCCATTCTTTTGTTAGGAGGTATTTCAAATCACTAGTTGTTGAAATGTATTTGAAGTTGACAAAAAATACACTAGACATGTATTTGGAAATCACCCCATGAATTTGACACAAATCCAAATACCAAATGTAATTAATATCCAAACACATGATTTGGTATTTGGAAATCCAAATCACAAATACCAAATCCAAATCATTGTATCCAAACGCACCCTAAGTAAACAACATGATAAACACAAACATTAAAATTTACTAGATAGTGGTAAAGACAAAAACACGATTAGTTGTAATTAAACCAGCTTAATCATCATAAACAATTAATTAGCTAGATATTGTTTGTGTCGGGAGGACGGTCCTTGAGTATGCCAACATCTTTTCAAACTTGTTGTAATCATACAAATTTGTGTTACTCCGATTTTGCCATCCCAAAACAAATTCCATGTTGTTGATGAATCCATTATTTGTCCCCCAAACCAGAAGGGAAGATAGCCAAAGGGAAGAGTTGAAAAGGGAGAGAAAGAAGATAAAAACAAAGGGACAATACGTGGATATCTTTCATGTATAACCAATACTCTCTTCTTTGTTTTTTTGTTTCTATGCTTACAAATGTATCCCATCTTCTTGCTAGCAAATCACCAAAACCCTACTTCTTTAGTTCTTTCGCCTTCACACTACAAGTATTTTACTTGTGGTCATGGTACAGTAACTTTTAGGGTTTGTTTACGGCGACTATTAAGTTACCGTGATTAGAAAAAAATGGTTGATTATTTTCGAAAAATGGTCGTTGGATAAATCACTTATCTTATTACAACGGGAGTCCACTATCACAAAAGAAAAATAACAATCGGCCTTTTGCTTTACTAAGCTTCAAAGCCACAAAATTTTAAATTTTTATACGATATTTAGAGTGATAATTTAATATTGAGTGATTGTTTATAGAGCTTTATGCTGATATTAACTTGGGTTAAATGGTTGCAAAGTCCTTCTTTAGTACAAACAATTTTCTAGTGGGTTTCAACATTGATAAGGTAATGGTCAACCAGGTCGACCATTCTATTGTACTAAGTGATCGTTATTTTCCTTTGTAATGGCGGAGCCTCATTGCAATAGCGAAACACTTCTAGTGGCGGAATCCTATTCTAACACTGATAGGTTAATGGCCGACCAATCGACCATTCTATTTGAGCGGTCGACTGCTATTTTCCTTCGTAACGATGTTGTTCTATCACAACAAGATAAGTGTGTCATCCGGTCTACCATTTTTCAGACGTGGTTGAGCATTTTCTCAAAGTCACGATGACTTGCAAGTCACCATATCAAAATCCTAACTCTTATACAAATTACAGTTAAGAAACAATGCGACATGGTCTTCTTAATAAATTTTTAGATGTTTTCGGACAATGAATCTTCCTTGAATTGATTTAAACGCACCTTTTACTTATTGAAAAACGACCACTAAACACATATCACATACCTTTGAATAAAGTTCAAATTAGCAGTTTGATTATTTTGATTAGTTTTGGGAACAAATTCACATTAAATTAAAAAATGATGTGATCACATTGTCAATCTTTGGACTGAGAACTCACTCCGGGAGCAACTTTCACTTTACCACTTCGTATGACCACCCTTGACAAGAGGGATTAGTCACTATTCTCGATAGTTAATGAACACTCTTGATAATATATAGACAAAAACATACTTTTAACTCATATTTTGTTCGTCTTATAACTCGAATTGACTGGTAATTTGATTGTATAATTTGTTCTGCAATTAATTGATGGATCCATTTCTGGACTAGTACAATTTTTTTTTTTTAATAAATACCAATAATGTTTTTATTGAAAACTACGTACTATTTTCTCTTGTTTTCTACGATTCTTTCTTTTGTTAGTTTGATGAATCCTAGTCTTCCACGGATTAACTATCACACTTCTATTTTGTAGAAAAAGTAGGAGCTATGGCAAATTTAAGCAATGTGGTAAGAACACGTCCTTAATTTTTTCGTAATAAAAAAGCGACTGGAATATATAGTTGTGTACTCCAGAAGCATAGCAGTGTAACCTGTAAGTATATATAGGTCTTTTTTTAATCGGAGTTTTTGTTTTTGATATTTTGTACGGGAATATACTTTAACTAAATCTATGGTAGAATAAACATGATTACAAATGACTTAATAACGATCCCCAATACAAATCCCCTATAAAGGTGGTTTACATCAAATTTGTTATTCTACATATTTGTAGAGATTCTATAAATAAAAATTATTGTTTTTATGGAATTATAGGTTTAATTGTTGAGTAAAGATATCTTAACATAGAAAACCATATATTTTATGTATCCTTTCCTATCCATTTTTCATACACATAAGCATAATATGATACTTCCATAAAATTAAAGGCAAAGCAAATTTTGGGGTGGTGTTGCAAGATTAAAACTAACACCAAATTTTATTGGCAAAAACTAAAAGACCAACAAAGTAAAACAATTTCAAAATACGGTAAAAAGATTTCCAAATAACAAATTTCAAACTTACCACTTCTGTTTTTAACCCTAGATTGACTTTTCCAAATTGCCTTTAAATTGTGATACCCACTCTTCCATGGAGGAAGAAAGAGGTTGTGTATGATCTCTCTCAAAATTATTTTGATTTCCCCTCCAAATCAAATTCCCCAAGAAAAATAAAGAACTTAATCATTGTTCGATTTCTTGGGGAAGAAGATTTGTGAATCATGATCAAACTTTAGAGAGAGGGAACAAAAAGTTCTCTAGGGCCAACTAATTATAATATTTTCTCCTCTTTGTTCATTAGCAAAGATGAGTTTGAATTGTCTGACTTGCCAATCTTTGACGAGGACGGACTCGGAACGAGAGTATGAGAAAATTCCAAAGATGGTGAAGAAAAATTCTCGACGTGTGAATAACGGTGCAGCCATTACTTTCAATTCAGATGGTGTCGAGCCCAAGTTGATAAGGAGCTCTGGGATGAGAAGAGATTGGAGTTTTGAGAATTTGAGAGCAGCCGGTAAGAATTACCTATTCGAATTGTGATTACGGATAAATGCGCAACCTAATCTATTTAATTATTGTGTTTATGTGGCTATTCATCTTTCAAAAATAGGATTTGCGATCATCAAACTCACATGATAATTTATTAATTTTCACTGTCGTTAACCCCGTTTCTGTCACATTTGTTGGTAATTTCATGTGATTATTGATGGAAATCATAGTTATCAGTTATCACAAACATATTTTTAATGTTGTTGTTTAAAGTCTAATGTATATATAATTTTTTTTCTCTCATTGACATGATAATGGTTTCCTTTCAAGTTTGACATGAGTCCTTATTCAGAATTACAAAAAAAATGACATGAAATTCCTATTGAAAAAAATAGATTATACCTGATAGATTATACTGTGGTACATGAATCATACATGTATACCTCATGAATTTGTTAATTTTGTGGTTGATTAGAAATTATTTGCCACTGAAGAGAAGAAAAGTCTTTTGGATCAGAGAACTGGAGAAGAAAAACCGAGACCAGAAGTCACAAAATCATTTCCAGGCTATGTCTTTATTGATATATTGTTGTATGACCCTTAATTACATGTATATGAATTGACTCGTGTGAATCACCAATTAACTTCCTTTTGGTGAATAATCATGAATTAAATTTGAGCAATGTATATGAATTAAGTTATGTGAATCATCAATTAACATTGTTTCCCCATGGATTACCTGCTGTAACTCACAACATCAGAAGAAGAGAAATAACGCAAAGAGTGACGACTACAAATCACTATGGTCTTATCAGCGAGCCGTTTCTCCCAAATTAATAATGAAAAGAGTTCTTATTAATAATCAACCCACAATAGTATCAACAAGTCGAATCAACAGAACCACGAACCTAACAACTGACATGGGAAGCTATAAGGAATCGTCGGGTGAGTGAGCTTAACATTGCCTTCTGATATCTATTATCCTGCAACCTGCAAGAACTTACCACATTGCACAGTAAAAAAACCAAGAGTTTCTATCTCATATGCAAACCATTCCCAACTACGATATATATCGATCAATACATATCGCGCCATTAGCAAACTTCACAGTTCGACACTGTCATTATACAACAAACTACAAGTCGCGGATGCTGCATGCTCGCTCTTTATCACTTCTTGTTCCTCGCTTCGGCCTTCCAGTTTCTTCGACCAAGCTTTGGCTTGTTGAGTCCATTGCTTGCCACCTGAACATCAGATGTCGAAATTGGCTGTGCTGATTTTCCATTATTTGAGGTGGCCAGATCAGAGATTACAGCAGCAGCACGTTTATCTGCAGAACTAGTACCTAAATGAGTTATTCTTCTTCTTGCATCCTTCTTCCATTTTCGAGTCGAATGAACACGAGGCACATAACTCATTTCTTGACGGTTTTCTACTATAACCTCCGGTTGTACATGCATGGGCCGGCTCACCACCCTTGAACCGTTGTCCATATCTGCTTCAAGGCGTTTGCGTGCCCTGTATCTACGTTGCCTCTCACGGTTCTTTAGACGACGAGTCATTGCATCCATATCGATGCGCCCTTTCCCCATCTTGTATAACACCTCCACCACCACCAACTGCAGTGAAATGAGATGTTTCCATTGTTACTTACACAATGATGTTTTTCACCAACAAAAGCTTAACACTTGCATGCCAAGGATACAAATCCTTTCTGCAACTAGAGAATTCAGCTTTAACTAGACTAGACATACAAAATCAACAAATGCAACAATAATCGCGCACATTACAGTATATATGTCATAGATTCCGCAACCCTTATCTAATAAGGAAAAGGGGAGTCAACATTGAACCTAGTACATTCAGTACAGTAAAGAAACCAAATTTTTCTTCACCTGAATCTTCTTAAAGTGAACAACTACAACATTTCCCCTGTTTTTCTGACAAGGGTCATTGTCTCATTGAAGTTAAAACAGCTGTAGAGTCCCATTTCAACAATGTTGCTGATTCGATAGAAACGGTTGCTGATTCAGAAGATCAATCGTTCATATCCCCTACCAATTATCCGCTACACTAGAAATTTTAGTAACAGCATAAATCAAATCGCTTCTGAACATTTCATTTCAGTCCTGCACATTAGTTGAGCACTCAACAGAACAAATAGTTCATCGAAGAACATGAAGGATCTCAAGTCCCATTCAAGCAAGAGAGCTGGAATCAATTCGTCTATGCACTACAAAGAAAACCCATTTCCATGTCGATCTCAGCAGCCCCCAAAAATTGAAAAGGAGAGCCCTTTTGTTACTCTGGTTTATTTCAAAGCTACTCGAGATGGGTTCCAGGCGATACAGATGCGATGAACGATTCAAGCCAAAAGCATCTCAAATTGCGAGCAATTGTTTGAGTGTAACTTCGAGTAATCATAAAGGAGGGATAAATTCAAAAGCTGAGAGCATCGGGAGAAAGCGAGTTAGAAGGAAGAATTGAAAGAGATTAGGTGAGTAGTAGTACCTCAGGGGAGTTTCAGAAGACGAGATTCTTTCTGGCGATTCCTTGATGGATGAAGGGGATGGAAACAAAGAAGAGAGCGAAGCTCCGAGGTTGGGATTTTCTTTTTGTTGCTCTCTTGGCTTTGCGACGACTTGTTGCGACCAAAACGAGAATGGACAATACAACGAAACGTTTCCTTTACGAGGGAGAAGGGTATCCAATTTTTGCTACTAACTTATTGAGCCTATTCACTATTTTATGTCAAATTGCAATTTGGCGAAACGTTTCTTGTAGCTCATCATGATAAATCGTAAGAACGCAATTGAGAGAAGACGATTTTAACGTGGTTCGGTCTCACGTTGTGTGAGACTTACATCCACAGAATGTAGGGTTTTCTTATTAGGTTATTTGGCCAATGACCTTACATTCATATATATACCCATCAACAGGATTAGCTAGGGCATTACACCACGTATGTGGAAATCGGTACAAGCAAGGAGAATGATTCCTTGTTGGACACGACTTATAAAACATGCCCGCAACATGTGAAGCTGGCTGGGCCGAGAGAAGAGTACAAGCAAGGAGAATGATTCCTTGTTGGACACGACTTATAAAACACGCCCGCAGCATGTGAAGCTGGCTGGGCCTCGCTACTCTTCTCTCGGCCCAATACTCCCCCGCAAGCTGGCATGTGGAGATCACGAACATTCAGCTTGGACCTCAGAAACTGGAAACGGTCTGCGCCAAGGCCTTTGGTAAGGATGTCCGCAAGTTGCAACTCCGTACGAACCTTGATTGGTAATATCTCGCGAGATTGGACTCGCTCACGCACAAAGTAGCAGTTCATTTTGACATGCTTGGTACGTTCATGGAAAATCGGATTGTTGGCGATGTGAAGTGCTGCCCGGTTGTCACAGTGGAGGGGAGTAAGATGAGCCTGCATGACTCCCAATTCTTTCAACAACCAGCGAAGCCAAATCAGCTCACTGACTGTGCTCGCCATAGTACGATATTCGGCCTCGGCGGAGGATCGAGCAACTACTCGTTGCTTCTTAGTACGCTAAGAGACAGGAGCCCCACCTAGACTGATGAAGTAACCAGTAGTTGATCGTCGAGTTTGCTGGCATCCCCCCCAATCTGCATCACAATAAGCAGTAAGCCGAAGAGGATTATCATCTGGAAAGAACAAACATTGGCTAGGTGATGTCTTAAGATAACGAAGTATGCGATAGGATGCGTCCATGTGCATACGACTAGGCTTGTGAACAAACTGACTCAAGATGTTCACAGCATATGTAATGTCGGGACGGGTGACTGTCAGATATAAAAGCCGACCAAGCAAACGAAGATAAGATGAAGGATCGGTCAATGCATCTTCATCGGGACGCATCAGTTGGTGGTTTTGCTCGATCGGAAAATCGCTGGGACGTCATCCTTGAGCACATGCATCTTGAAGAATATCTAAGACATACTTTCGCTGGCTAAGAGAGATCCCGTCAGCAGTGCGCGCAACCTCGATACCCAGAAAATAGCGGAGATTCCCAAGATCCTTAATACTGAACCGATCATTGAGAAATCCTTTGACTTTGTTGATGAATGGCAAGTCATTGCCGGTTAGGATCACGTCATCGACGTATATGAGTGCGACTACGAACGTACTCCCCCGTCGAAAGATAAAGAGAGAGTGGTCAACTGGAGAGGCTCGAAATCCCAATTCACACAGTGCTGTGGTGAATTTGTGATACCAATTCCGATAGGATTGTCGAAGACTATAAATAGATTTATGAAGTTTGCAGACTCTTGTATCCCCAGGAGCTCGAAATCCTTGTGGGATCTCCATGTAAACTTCCTCGTCTAGATCACCATGGAGGAAAGCGTTGTTGACATCGAGTTGATGAAGAAACCAACCACGACTAACGGCCACAGCAATCAAGCAACAAATGGTAACGAGCTTCGCAACGGGGGCAAAGGTATCATGGAAATCCAATCCTTTGATCTGAGTATACCCTTTCGCCACCAAGCGAGCTTTGTAGCGCTCGATCGTACCATCAGGGAATAATTTGATCTTGTAGACCCACTTTGAGGCTATCGCGCATTTGCCAGGAGGTAAATATACCAAGCTCCAAGTCCCGTTTTCTTGCAGAGCAATGATCTCCTTTGTCATGGCGTCCCGCCACCACTTCTGAAGAACAACCTTGAAGAAAGATGTAGGTTCATCGTTCTGAGTCACGACTGCAAGAAAGGCACGATAAATGGGTTTAAACTGATCATAATTAACATAAGCAGCAAGAGGGTATTGAGCAAAATGTATATCACTTCCCTGTGGTGGATTATGTGAAGCATTGTGAATTGTCCCAGTCGTGTCATAGTCATCCAAATGATTTGGACGAAAGCGAACACGATCGCTCTTGCGAAGGGAAGGCTCGGGAACTGCAGCTCGAGGAGAGGGGCCCGTCTGTGGCGGGAACTTAAAGGAGCTGGAAGTGGACCCGGATGCACCAGTAGAGGAAGCTGGGGACGCGTCAACTGTGGGTGTCAAAGAAGAGATTGAAGAAGGAGTACCTGGCTCGCGGTAGGGACTGTCTGGAGGCGTAGCAGGCTGCGGAGAAGCAGCTGAACTAGTTGGAGGAATACTTGTAAAGGGTGCAGGCAACAAAGGCTGAGAGGATTGATTTGGGAGAGAGGATGATGTGTCCCGATCCTCGTCGGCCATGTGAAAAGTTGGCCGAGGCACCCAATGTAGCTCACGAATATCATCAACTTGAAAGGGAAACATGCGCTCGTGGAATTGAACATCACGAGAGGCAAGTAGCTTGTGACTCTGCAAGTCATAGACCTTATAGCCTTTTTGACTAGCGGCGTAGCCGAGGAAAACACTCGCGCGACCTCGCTCCGAGAATTTGTCCAAATGAGCATGTGTATCTTTATAATACACTAGACAACCAAAAGTTCGTAAATGTTGGTAGGTGGCAGGCCTGCCGAACAAGGTTTCAAACGGCGTCTTACCAGTAGCCGTCATCGGTAGTCTGTTGATGAGATATGTGGCCGTCAAAATGCACTCTCCCCCAGAAATGAAGAGGCAAACTAGCATGGAATAGGAGAGCACGTGCAGTTTCCAGGATGTGGCGATGCTTTCTTTCGACCACCCCATTTTGTTGAGGTGTGTCGGTGCAAGATGTCTGCGGTAAAATTCCTTCCTTCTCATAGAACTCTTGAAGGACATCGGTTTTGAATTCGACCCCATTATCACCTTGAATTTTCTTAACCGCCCTGCCAAACTGTTTGCGAACCATGTTACAGAAAGCTATCAAGTGACGACCAACGTCAGACTTAAACCGGAGTAAATAAATCCAGACACCACGACCTAAGTCATCCACAATCGCTAAGAAATAATGTGCTCCACTTAGCGGAGAAACCTTATAACCACCCCATATATCCACGTGAATGAGTTCAAAACAAAACTTCGTCTTAATGCAACTAAAAACAAAAGGTGTACGGGTCTGCTTAGCACGAGAACAAGAATGACATAAATCATTGTCTTTAGAAACCGAAATAGGAACAATAGAACTAAGCTTCTCCATCTTTGCAACAGATGGGTGCCCTAGTCGTGCATGTCAGAGAACATTCGTGACACCACTGCCAAACAGTCTCAAGTAATAAAGTCCATCACGAAGTTCCCCTTACCAATCAATTTCTTGGAGTGCAAGTCCTGGATAACGCAGAAATCATCAACGAAGATCAACGCAACATGAATATCCTTCGTTAATCGGCTCACAGATCCCAAATTACAGCTAAATTCTGGAACATGGAGAACCCGACTAAGAGTGAGTCCAGAATGTAAAGATATAGAGCCGATATGCTTGATAGGAATACTCGCACCATTAGGGATTCGCACTAGTTGCCCATGAACATTAACTTCCTTGTGCGATAATAAAAATTCGTCCATGGTAATATGCTCGTTAAAACCCGAATCTATCAACCATTCAAAAGAATTAGAAACCATACCTGCCATATTAGCAACCGGATCATCTCCAACGCTAGTTGACTGACCAAAGAATTTCTTAAGTTGTTCCAGTTGTTTGATCGAGAATCCTTGCACTGGGCTTTGCTCACTTTCAGCCTGTGATGCTTTAGGTTCGCATATGGAGCTCTCAGTTGGGCCGCGCTTGGCTTGTCGACGCTGCGGCGGCCTCTCACCTTGCCGATCGCGATCTCTTAGCGGGTAGCCGATCAACTCGTAACACGCTTCCCGCAGATGGCCAATCTTCTGGCAGTGTGTGCACCTCGGACTATCACGATCCCCTGAACCTTTAGGTTGCTTGTCTCCATCACCACGTGTGCTGAACGCGGCGGCCTCAGGTTGTGAACGCCGACTTTGGGAGATCGCCTTTTGCTGTTCTTCGTTCAGTACAATGTTGAAAGCTTCTGGTAGTGATGGCGTGGGCTTCATGGCCAGGACTTGAGATCGTACAGCTGCGAATGCGTCATCAAGCCCCATCAAGAAGTCGAAGAGCCTAGAGTGATCAAGCTGCTCACGGACTCTTCGCGACACGCCGCATACACATAAACCACACGTACAGCTTGGTGTGGGGGAAATAGCAGTTGCTTCTTCCCATAATCCTCTTAGTTTCGTATAGAACGAGGAGACTGAGTTCTTTTCTTGCTGCAGCAAACTCACGAGCCGCCGAAGCTTGTATGCCCAAGAGGAGCTGCCTTGGCCGAATCGCTCGAGGAGGTCTGCCCAGATTGCTTGAGACGTCTCAGCGAATCGAATACTGCTTCGAATTTCTTTATCCATCGCAGTCTTCAACCATCCTTTCACCATTGCATCGCAACGAATCCATGCATTACTCTCAATAGGATTCGATGGTTTGGGTAACGTCCCATCAACAAAACAAAACTTATTTTTGGCGATCAAGGCATCTTTCATATCAAGTGCCCATTCTCCGTAGTTGGAAGCTGTCAAAACTTCACCTACCATCATCTGACCCGGGCCATCCGAATTGCTGAGTTGATAAACGGATGGGAGAGCGAGTTCTTTGCCGGCGGTGAGCTGAAGCTCTTTGTTTCCAACACTTTCTTCACCATCTTTGTCCATGGTGAGTTAATTGATGATCTGCTGGAACTCACAGCTCTGATACCATGATAAATCGTAAGAACGCAATTGAGAAAAGACGATTTTAACGTGGTTCGGTCTCACGTTGTGTGAAACTTACATCTACAGAATGTAGGGTTTTCTTATTAGGTTATTTGTCCAATGGCCTTACATTCATATATATTTTCTTATTAGGTTATTTGTCCAATGGCCTTACATTCATATATATACCCATCAACAGGATTAGCTAGGGCATTACACCACGTATGTGGAAATCGGTACAAGCAAGGAGAATGATTCCTTGTTGGACACGGCTTATAAAACACGCTCGCAGCATGTGAAACTGGCTGGGCCTCGCTACTCTTCTCTCAGCCCAATAGATCACCTTGTCGATTACGTCAATTGCAAGTAAATGATCATGTTTTTTCAACGAGAATTAAAAACTAGTTAATTTTAAGAATTTGGTTTTCATATTGTTGATATTTACGGTGTGGTATTTTTACACTTATAATGTGACTTTCGCATGATTTGTTGAGGATAGAGACGGAGTTACAGTTTTACTCTGGTGTAACAACTGTCTTCAAGAGACCTAATAACGATTTTCCTATACATGTCATGCTAGATACCACTACATGGAAACGTTCATCTATGGTAAAAGAGAAACAGTTCATAGTTCATACATTGACTGATCAATCAATCATTCCTGTTATCATCTTCCTCTTCCTCAGGCTTCACAAAGAACTCGATGTAAGCAATTCGGCCAGGCTGCTGCTGATGGGAAGCTGAATCAATAACGTGTGGATTTGGAAATGGTGCTCTCCCAACTGGCACCAGATGCTGAACTTTCAACATTCCGCCTCTGCCAATGGTGAGTTTGCTTCCTCGATTCTCCTTCATCACGCTGCTCGGTAGATTGGATGTTGTTGCCCGGAGAAACTTGTACTTGTATCTGTGAGATACTGGGTGGTTGCAGTTGAAGTCTAGTAACAGATCACTATTCACATTGTACATGAGATCAATCTGCAGTGAAACAAAATAAAGAAAGGTTTTTAGATGCTGGGAAGGTAGTTACAGAAAGAAAACAAACATATTGTTAAATGTACCTGCAAATCTCCATGCCCTTCTCCTCTGAAGGAGACGGATGGAGGTGCTGGTTTGAGGTTGATGCGTATGCTGGAACCAGGCCATTCGAGATCGTCAATGGCTTCTTTCAGCGCTGCAGACTAGGTTACAGGAGACATGATTTCAGATACTTATTTCAGGGGGAAGAATGTACTGTAAATTGCCAAACCGGTAACATGGATTAGGATTATCGACCCAAAAGTGTACATTCTGTTACAGAAATCCAGTTGGTTTCCAGATCTGTGGTTTCATTGCATATGCTAAATGCTAGCTAAAGCCTAAAAGCCAATATCCTTGTAATGTAACTGTGCGTACCTTCACAGTAAAACTTAATGGCACACTTCCAGCAGGTTCAAAGTTATAGTCCCAGGAAACTGTGTCCGGGATTATCGTCCTGATCTCTGCATAGATGCAAGCATCTGATGAATCAAGAGACCTATAATGTATATAAGGTGAACTGAGTCAGGCACATTTCATCCAAACGTCAGTTAGTTTTACTCTAAATACGAATCAAACACCTTCTAAATCAGAGGTTTCAATCTTCAATTCTAGCTGGAAGTCACAAAGATCACACCACAAAAAAATTCATCTCTTTGCTTCCAGAATCAAGACTTACTTATCATCACAAGCATTTTCATAGTAAGAAAAACCAGAAAACAGCTGAAAATAGTGGGAATCAAACTCGACATGAAACATTCTTATCAAGACACGATATGCAACTGCTCTTGTAATCAACTTTGAACATTACTTGTCCCTCTTACTACCAAACATAGTTTGCATTCTCAATATCGAGCTCACGGCCCTAGTCGAAGAAATGATGGAACACTGACGGAAATGGAAGTGGACACAAGTACTTGAGATGAAGCAGCAGATAAAGGCTATCAAATTCAAAAGCAACTGGTGTAATCCAATAAGAACACTCTCCGCCAATCATAGTTGCATTCTCAAGCCTCAAAATCGCACTCCAGCCAAAGAAATGCTAGAAACGCTAATCGAAAAACAGAAATAAACATACATACTTGAGAAGAAGCTGCATGTCAGGTCCAGGATATCGAATCTCAATAGCCGAGGCACGCCCAGGAACAGTAAATGTGCTCAAGCAATCGACGAACAGGCCTAAGCTAACTCCAAACCGCGGCCGCTCTTCCGCATTGTAATCATACTGAGCGAAAAGCTACAGGAACAAACCCTAATCAAACTACAGTTCCATTTCCATATCCCAAAGCCCTAAAACGAACAGACGTTTTGGGGAAAGAGTTGGGGGAAAATTGATCGATTCGATTCGATTCAATTAGATTACCTCCTTGCGCAGATAGACTTTGGCTTGAAGACAGTTGCTCTCCTCCAGGATCAACACGATTCCATGCTCCGACAATTCCACCACCGCGTCCTGGACACGACGGAAGACCGGAAATCAGGAATCAGACGGCGTGGAAAGAAAATTCTAGAGTGGAAAAAAGAGTGGCGGGAACCTGGTGGCGCTTCCAGCGGACTGCGGAGAGGGAGTCGACCATGCCTTGGACGTTCTCGAGTTGGCAAACCAAATCGGCGGCTTCTGGTTCCACCGCCGACGAGCTCATCTCTCACTGTTCTTCAGTCTTCACTCTCCCGCCAAATGGGATTTTGGTGGAGCGAAGAAGCGGAGGGGTAGGTTTAGAAATTCGCGCCCAAGTATCAGCAGCACCGATTCAGACAAAGTGGGGTCCACAACTACACTATTTGATCCCTTACTTTTTTTTTATCTTCGTCTATTAGGTACCCAAACTTCAAATTGAGTAAACTAAGTCCATTAGTTTACGTTTATTTTCGGTAGAACGTTAATGTCATGATCTGTATTCTTACATGTTCTATTTTGTTATCTATTTTTATAGATTTAATTTCAATCGGATATAGTTAATTTTTAAGTGATTAAGTTAGACGATGAAGAATTGCAACTTGATAATACATTACATTTGTACTTTCAAATATTCAAAATACTTCATCAAGTCTAGGACCGACTAGTTTGTTTATAGTTCACAGCTACGTTTAACATTTTAATTATATAAAGTTAGTTTATAAGTGAATTGTGATCAATAAAAATGATAAAATTTTTTATCTTTTATTTGTTTGTATAGAATCTAGTATTTCGTGGTTTCTCTATGACATATATGCTATATATAATTGTCTTGTGATAGCGTTAATCTAACAACTGACCATCACGGATTTGGACTTTTGTTGTTGCTAAATGTGCAAGGTAAGATATTTAGTGAGCTATTTTGGAAATTAAGAAAAATTAATCGATCAAAATATGAAAGGCAAGAGATTTAAGTGACCTAATCTGGAACCCCCAAAAAGAAGAGGATTGAAGTTGGAAGACTTGAAAAGTTGGTATTAAGTACCCGAAGGCTGAAAGTCTTTTCCCACCAAACGAATAAAGATTGCCAAATTTCAAGAAAACAAAACTACTATTTAATCCTTCCAACTTTCCTTTTTCCTCTGCGCATTTATTTCCTTATCCCTTCCGTACACTGTAAATCAATATAGAACGGTTGCTTCCTTCTTCGTCCCACTTCCATGGCTTCTTCAACTCGTCTTTCTTCACACTCCATTGATTCATAGCTACTTACCCTTTTGGATCTAACCCCAATTTTCATTTCTCCTCTTCGACTTCCACTGCCATAGTTTGCTCAATACTTGCAACGAGTTCTTCAATCCTTTTGTGAGCCTTCTTTCTCCACGCTCTGAATGGAACTCGACGGCGAATTTCCAGAATTCCAGAGCAACCCATTGGAGCTGAACCTAATCCTCGTCGTGGGCTCTTACCAGTTCTTCCTTTAGGTATTTATTTCATTGTCTTCCTCAGGATCTGATTGGAAAAGGGAGGACGAGAAACTTTTTTCCCGCCTCTTCCATGTTTATTAGGGTTTGGAAATGGATTACAGTAGGAGGGATGGAAATGTCGTCCATGTGATTCAAACCGGCGAGTATTGGATTCCGAAACCTTCCGATTCCAATCCCGCTCCTGTCTGGGCAACTGAGGACGAATACCGCGCCTGGAATCATCTTACCGCCGACGGCGGTGAACCTCCGAGCAAGAAGACAAAAGGAAGTTCATCAAATTCGTCAATTTCAGCGAGTTCCCAGGTACAGGAGCAAGCTTCGAAGAAGACGATTGGGAAGATGTTCTTCAAGACGAAGCTGTGCTGTAAGTTTCGGGCAGGGACTTGTCCTTATATAACCAACTGCAACTTTGCTCACAGCATGGAGGAGCTTCGTCGTCCGCCGGCGAACTGGCAGGATATAGTGGCGGCTCACGGGGACGAAAAGGGAGGTAATAATGGGGCAGCTGAGATTATCAGGGAGGAGTTTCAGATTCCTGCGGTTGGTGGTGGATTTGGAGCTGAGACGCAGAGGTCTTATAAAGGTAGGCATTGCAAGAAGTTTTATACTGAGGAAGGGTGCCCTTATGGAGAGAGTTGTACGTTTTTGCATGATGAGCAGTCCAGGCATAGGGAGAGTGTGGCGATAAGCTTGGGGCCTGGAGGATATGGTGGAGGAGGAGGTGGTGGGGGTGTGGGTGCTGGTAGTAGCAGCATAGTGTTAGGTGGAGGAGGTGGAGGTGGAGGAGGGAGCGGAGTTATTGTGGTTGGAGGAAATGGAAGTGCTGCTGCTGCTGCTGCTGCGAATTTGAAGCCATCGAATTGGAAGACGAGGATATGTAATAAGTGGGAACTCACTGGGTATTGCCCATTTGGGAGCAAATGCCATTTTGCTCATGGATCTGCAGGTATGTTGTGCCTTGCTCTTGTTTGATGTGTATTTGAATTTGTCTAATTGCAAGTAATTGTGTACTGCAGTCAAACAGCAATGATGAAATCTGGTGTAGTTTTGAACATTTATCAGTGGCGTTTATGTACGTTTCCTATTTTCGATAATGTCAATTTGGGAAAGAAGTTTAGGGGTCATCCTAGGAGGATTTGAATTATTGATCCTTGGCTGCATAATTGCATCGTAGAACTTAAAAACTTTGGTTGGGGCAACTTATGGTATCCGTTAATTGAACTTTCCATCCTGGACTTGAATTTGTATGTATGTAGTAACTAGTAAGCTGAGACGTATAAATGGAAGGATTATGTATTGGGCAAGTCATTGGTTAAATGAAGTCGGAATGTATGTTGATTGGAGCCTGAGCTTGAAATTAAAGAAACAATCAGTAGCTTTAAAGGAAAAGGGAAGTTAAGATATACGTGTGGTTGTGGAGTATCATGCCTCACTTGGTAGTTCGTTGTTTATACTGGAAATTGCTAGTCATAGTCTGACAGAACAATCATTTCGTTGATTCAACTAGCCATTTAAATTTATAGCCAGAGGGTCGTTGGTTATTCTCATGCCTTTGTGAAAAAAGTGTTGTACTATCGTCCAAGGACTTGTGTGTTTGGCGTATTCATAGGAGTTTGTTGGACAGTTTTTGGGTCATGTGAATTGGAGTGAAACTCTTTCCTTCATCTGGGATGGTTATGTCTCAAGTCTTCTAGTGCTTTCATATGTGATGTGTACCATTTACAGGAAGAGTCCTGACAGCTAAGGTCCATTTCAGTCTGAAGTTTTTATACTCCGAGTCCATAAAGTACAGACTACAAGTTTTGCGACATTAAAATCGTTTCTATTAATTGATATACCTCTAGCTTTAGCTTCTCTGTACCATAGATAGCTCACACAGCGACAATATCTAATATGGGAAGTTGGAAGCCTATCTATGATCGGTGAATTGAATTAGCAGCTGTCAACTTGTCAAGCCATTGATTCTGAACAATTCTAGTTTCAATAAACTCTTATTTTTGTGCATCAAACTTTCTTAAAATATACTTATTGTTACTAAACTCACATTTGGCTGATATATTCAGTTCTTGTGAAACTTCTGGTGTGAAATAGTCGGCTGTATCTCTTTCACGTGTCAGGAGTCCCTAACTTACTGTTCAAAGAATCTACCTTCTCACCTACATGTTTCTATGTTTTGGTGACTGCGACAGAGTTTAAGACAATTGTGATGTAATCTTCATCCCTTTCCTCTATTCTTTGTGGGAATGTGAAAAGTTGGTAGTGTTCAGTTACCTTCTGATGTTTCTTTGACTTTCCTGAGGATAGGTTCCTCTGCTGAACGCTTGTACAGTCCAACATTGTTGAGTTTAAAACGAACATGTGTTGTGCTTAAGCTAGTGATGCTCGATTGTAGTTGTAGTTACTTTCCTTCAGCTTTATATTATACATTTTGAGCGCGCTCGGATTCATTTTCATTATCTTTTTTGTTCCTGCAGAGTTACATCGGTATGGAGGCGGGCTTGTGGACTCAGACACCAAAGATGCTCCTGCTGCTGCTACAGACTCAAAGACAGGAGCTGCGCCTTCCAAAACACCCCTCGACTCAGTGGTTGCTTCAATGACTTCAGTCCCTCATTCTGATACGTATCATCACCTCGGAGTTCCGTCTCAAAGATCATCAGCTATCCTTATCCCGAGATCAGGCCACAGAGCTCATCAGAAATGGAAGGGTCCAGATAAAATCAGCAGGATATATGGTGATTGGATCGATGATAACGAATGAATGCACCCAACTTACTAATGTCAATCTTGTAAGAAGTGTAGATGGGTTAGAGCGAAACGCCGAATGGGACCAGAAGAGCCGTTCGCTTGTTGTAGTTTCTGTGTATGTTCTGTCATGTAAGCTAATGTGTTTGTGTTGTTGTACTCTGTAGTTTGCTGCCACTTTAGTGATGTTAGACGCTCTTGTAGTTTGAATGAAGAGGAAGGATATGTATGTGTTGTCTGTATAGTGGGAAGAGCTGTTTGGAAAAGAGAATGTATCTGAATTTGATTTCCCACAAAGCCTAAATTTGCAATCTTTAATGTTGCCTGTTTAGGCTCATTATTTTCTTTTTGTGTACAATTGTAAGTGCATCAGACATAGCCAATGTTATAGATTCTATTCATTAACTATTTAGACGGTTTTAAAGATCGTAGTCCAAATGGCCTGACAAATGCATCGAGTTAGATCTAAATTCAATTTCTTATAGATATCTGTTCACTAATATAAAATAAATTCGTTCAAGTGTCTTTGAAAGCTAAGAAGAATCAATTTTGAAAACCACGCAAGTGATCTAATACAATTGCAAGACATGGAGCATGAAATACAGAAGTAGTGGTGTACAATGTACCTACAGATTCAATCTTGAATCGGTACTCTTCTTATAAGTTCATGACACCCAACATAGATTTATGTTTATTAGAGCATGCTTTCGTGACGTATTAACTAACTGAGTGAGCTTTACACTTTAAAATGATATTGTATGCCAAAGTTTATGTTTTCTTTTACCCTCTAAAATAACAACATTTAAATTTGCCTACTTAACCAAGAATTTTAAAAAAGTAATTCACAATTTTGTCTTCATAACTGACGTAATTTTCATTTGGCTGTCAAATTGTCAACTAGCATGTTTTTGTGGGGCATATGCTAGTCTCCAAAACTGCAAGGGGTTTTTAACTTTTCAACCAAGTTTGACCCAAAACCTCCACACACATCTTTCTCAAACTAACTTATTTTTTCGCCATGGAAGAGAGTAAACTCCGGAAATATTTAAACAATTCTCCACACTTCACTCCAATCTTGTGACCCGCTCCAACACTAAAAGAGTAAAAAACCCAAACAACGAAATGAAGAAACAGAGTACAAAGCAAAACAGAACAAATGGAGCAGTAGAACAAAGGAAAAAGCTAACAAGAATCTCACCTCTGCAAAAGCCGGAAGGCCGGATACCCAAAACTTTTCCGGCCAGCGAGAGATTCTTAGCATTCCATTCCACCCAAAAAAATGTCAACCGCCGGCGACGGTGGCATCAACGCGCCGCCGGAGTTCCCGGCAGAGCAGGTAGCATTCCCCACGCCATCACTGACCGTCGTCTTGACGACGGTCCTTCTGATCCTCTTCTTTGTGGGCCTTTTCTCCATCTACTTCTGCCGATTCTTTCTCGACAGCCTGATGGACGGCTGGAACGCCGCCGGCCGGATTCCTTATTTCACCGACAACGCGATCATCAACCACAATTCAATCGGCGGCGACGGCGTTGCCAATCCAGAGGAGCAAGGGCTCGATCCGGCCTTGGTCCAGCTTTTCCCGACGTTTCCCTATTCAAGCGTCAAGGAGTTCCGGCGAGAGAAGCACGAATTGGAGTGCATCATCTGCCTCGCCGAATTCGAGGAAGACGACCTCCTCCGCCTCCTCACCGTGTGCTACCACGTGTTTCATCCGGACTGCATCGACCTCTGGCTCCGATCCCACAAGACGTGCCCCGTCTGTCGGCGAGACCTGGAGCAGGTCTCGCGCGACAGCCTCGAGAAGGTTCCGCTCAAAATTTTCGACAGCAGCGCTCCTGTCGAAAATGTTGAGGACGGCGACGATGGGAGCCTTCTCGATGGATCCACTGCCATCACTGTCGATCAGGATCGCTGCCTGAACGGCGGTGGGGACGATGAGGAAACGGGAAGGAGGAAGAGGGTGGAGAGTGATCAGCTGAGAAGGTTTTCGAGGTCTCATTCCACGGGGCACTCCATAGTGGTGTCCCGATCGTCGGTTGGGGATCACGGGGAGGACGAGGATGATCGATACACGTTGAGATTGATGGAGAATGTGAAGGTTAGAATGGTGTCGGCATCACATCGGCATTGCGCGGTGGAGAGTTGTATCGCATTTGGTGAATACTCTGGTATCAGAAATACATATAATAAGAAGAAGAGCAATGATATTGGTACCATTAATGGTTATTGCGGTGGATTTGGAGAGGTGTCGGGAACTTCCATCACCGGAATAGTTAGTAAGTCATAGATAGTTTAAGTTAGTTTTTATTTAAGCGACAAGTACTTTATTAATGATATACTTTTTAAACATTTTTCTTCCAGAATTATGTTTACATAGCAAGTAAAAGATTAAATTAGTTACACCATTTACCGTCTATCTGTCTTACAAGTTACTATATAGGGCTTTGGAAAATTATGATGTATATAACAATGGATAGTGAATAATTTTTCTTGGTATTGAAGGAGAGTGTTCATGAAACAAAATTCAATAAGAAAACAGTGTTTAATTGTCGTTCCCATTTAGTATTGGGTTGTGATATGACTCAATCCTTACGGCACTAGGATTTGATGATCCTAGTCCTTGTCCACGAAGGATTAGCATATGTATATCTTGGGCCTCAAATCTGTTTCTCCCACTCAAAGACCTCAAGGCCCATATGTAGTTTTTTTTTATAAGGGCCCATATATAGTTCAAATGCACAATACAATGCACCATTTAGCCCAAAAGAAAAAAAATAGGGTTAATACCATAATTTGGCCCGAAGTTTAGCGTTATTGACAGTTCTGGCCCGACTTTTCCAATAAGACATTTGTGACCTACTTTTCAAACTATTGGACAAATTTGGCCTATGAGACTGTTTGACCGTCACAATTGACGGTCAACCATTTTTCCCGTTAATGACTCAGCATTAGCTGCTGACTAGACTAGTCCATTTGATTTAAAAATTGAAAACTTAAAAATTAAAAATAAAAAGGGGAGTCTCTGTCCAGTCCCCTTCTTTCCTCTTCCCTCTGGCTTCTCTATATCATCTTCCAATTTCATATCTGATTCTCAAAATTCAATTTCAAAAAGTTGTTCTTATCAATCAATACACAAAACCTATTACCAAACGTCGACCCACCGCAGCATCACCAAAAATTAACCCCGCCATTGTCTTCAATCTCTTCACGATCCCTAATCTTCTTCTGTTGTCGCCAAAGAAACAGCCAGAGGTAAGCCGGCCCGAATCTAACGACGACCACCGCCACTCCCACTCCTCTTCCTCCCGAACCTTCTTCCACCCGGAACTCGTTGCCGTCTTAAACCGCCAACCCATTTCTTATCGCCGACCACGAATCTAGGTGTGGTTGAAGTGCGGATTTAGCATTTCCTCCAGAACGGTGTGAGGGAGAAGACGAACAGCCACCAGTTCGTTCGGCTGAGGGAGAGTCGATTTGGGCACCGCCCGTTGAAAATCCCTCGCCGCCGAAGCGCATGTCGAGGACGAAGAAGAGGAAGAAGGAACTAGTCCCAGTCAAAAGCCCTGCCCCCGCAGATCTTCTTCCGCAGCCGCTCGTTCCACCCCGACGGCGTCTTACCCTTGAACGCGCCGGCGTGGAAGTACACCAAGACCGACAGCTTCCTCTTCTCTTCGTCTAGTCTGGGGAGGTAGAGGTGGGTCTCGGCGGAAGAAGGGATTGAATCAGTGGGAAGAAGGCGGCGAGAGGAAGAGATGAGGGTAGGGCCGTAGGAGTTGGGGGTTTTGGGATTATTTTTATTTTTTTATTAATTGAATTAGAAAATATTTTATTTAATGACATGGCACCATGTATAAGCCACGTCAGTAGTTCTTTGATGAGTCACTAACGGAATAAGTGTTTGACCGTTAATATTAACGGTCAACACAAGTTTCGGGCCAAATGTGTCCAATGATTTCAAAAGTAGGTCGTAAATGTCTTATTTGAAAAATGGGGCCAGAACTGTCATTCACGCTAAACTTCAGGCCAAACTAGAGTATTAACCCAAAAAAATATATAGAGATATAATAAGTTACTATGCACTTTTAACAAACATGTTTATCTCTTTTTTCTTACATCAAATATATTCTTATACTAAGAAAATTATTAAACATGCCATTTGTTAAATTTTCATCCAAAATTTGTCAACACGGTCAAACCATGGCTCAGAAAACATGGCATCTGCAAAATGGGATGTGAAATGCCAGTCTTGCCCCTTCCTTTACACAAAATCTCGTTAAACTGAAAATTTTAAACGCATTGGGTTATACAAAAGAAACAAAAAATATTATAAAGTGAAACTATTAGCGATATTTTAGGAATTTGTGTTGCCCAAACCACAATTCGACCATAGTTTACTGATTTTCTAAGAAAATTTTAAAAGAAGGCCATGTGTGATAATTCTTCAAATTACAAAGGTATGTTTGATGTAAAAAAATAATAGAAGAACGTGTATGATAAAAATGCATAATAAAAGTGCATATTATACTTATAAATTAAACATAAGTTATATGGTATAGCGAGTCTTTGGCTAATTACTTATAATGAGGGGAATTAAATGCTTCAATGTTACAAGGAACTTGCGTATAACTATTAAGTATTTAATTGGAATATGCATAATGGTACCGTCAAGGTCTACCGCTTAAAGATGAACACAATCTCTTATTAGGGGCTTACTCTCGATGAATCTGGGAAGATGCCCCTTCACTCGCACAGAGCTCTAGGGCGCGCTTAAGGGTCTACAGCTGGTGCATGGGACATTGGATGCAGAAAATTCGAGCTCCAACTTGACTACACAACAGTCTTCCACCTTCTAGCGGCTACCACACCAACTGATCATCCAGCATGCGAGCCTAGTCATCGCATTATGCGGAACGGGGAAACACGAGTTGTTCATGTCTATCGAGAGGCCAACTTTCTAGTTGATAGTCTTGCTTGCTCATAGGGGCCATGAATTACTTATTGGAATATTTGTTCTTTGTCCTTCTGATTCAGCTATTGCACAGTAACTTTTGTATGACGTTGCCACCGAGAGACCAAATTTTTATTCATTATTTTTGCTCCTTCACTACTATTCAATTTTTACAGCTCATTCAGTCAGGGATTTGGTTGGAAAAGAATTCAATTTGGAGGTTCTTCAGATACGTTAATTAATTTTGAACGGTTAAATAATTAATGATGGAAGGAATTGGTAGAGTGAAAAAAGAAAAAGAAAAAAAAAAAAACAGTAGGTGGCTAGTAAAAAGGAAAGGAATTGCATGCAAGGTTAGTTTCTGACATGGTAATTAATAATGTAATATATATACTGACGTACGTACCAACTATCTTTCAAATTGATTACTCATGCATGCACTACTAATTGTTTAATTAGTACACAAATGTCGCCATTATATTGTGTTAGTATTGAAGGGAATGGTTCGTAAATAATAGGGGATTAATTAAGTTACATGTAATCTGTAAGCCATATATATCTATGTATGAGTACTATGTTGACCAAATATTAGAAAGCGCAGCAGGATATTTCGTCTTTCGACCAACCATTTCCTTAAAATTTAGCTTGACCATCTATTTTTCTTCGACGAATATGCATAACGAAATACCCAAATATTTAATTGTACAAAGGAAGAGTACAAATTTTACTACAAAACAACTACATTAATGCTCCGAATTTCGTAGAAGTTTATATGTAAGTTTTAACCACCGAGTGCTCTCCCAGCTCAGGGGAGCCCAATCACTCAATTCTCCACCGCCAAGCAATCACAATGTTGTGATTCACTGTGATGGGTCATTTTTAAGCGACTCCCAGCCGGCGGCATATGGTGTGGTAGTCAGGGGCGAAGCCAGCACAGCGGCCGGGGGGGCCATGGCCCCCCCGGGAATTTTAGGAATCTAAGTAATACCGGACATCTACCATAATTGTCATGTTAATACCAGTAGCGTATTGGTATTGGCTGTGTTTTGTAGAAGGAAGGTCTAGGGTTCGATTCTCCTAGTGGCCATTTTGCTGCTTTTTTCTCTTCTTATTCTTCTCCCAGCTATGGGGTTGTGGCTTTGTGGGTGCAGAAATTAAATTTATGGTTGCCAAATCTAAATTGAAATATGAAATTGTGTTCATTGGTTTCTTTAATTATCAACCATTTAGTTTAGGAGTTAGATGTATTCATTTGAAATTGAGCTTGGTTTTGGATTCTATCAACGAATTTCGACATTGATGTTATTTATCGTTTTACAAGAAAGTATTATCCTCTAGTTTTTTCAATAAAACAAATACTTAGATTGTCATTTTAATTGAAGATTTTTCATGTTGATGCTCTTATACATGCTTTTCTAGTGAATATCAAAGGAGTTTGATCTAATTGATATGTTGATTCGCCTTATTTTTAGCTTAAACACTATTTTGATGGATTTTATTTCCCTCAAATAGCATCGTATAATAAATAAATTACATTTATCATGATTTTGTTTGAAAATTTTATTATTGGCCCCCTCGGACTTGAAATCCTGGCTTCGCCCCTGGTGGTAGTCACTAACCACCATGGTCAAGTGTGTGATGGGAGAGCTGACACTCTTCTTTGTTCCACCCCACTCGAAGCCGAAGCGAAAGCCCTTTTAGAAGGTCTCAAATTAGCCCAAGAATATGGCACGGAATGTGTTGTCCAGTCAGACTGCCAGCGGATTGTCAAAGCTCTCTCGGACGAGCCAAGAAATTGGCCTTGGCGAGGGGCTGCCTGGATTGGTTCAATGGTCTCAATCTTAAGAACGAACCCTCATGTGAAGGTCAAGGCAGTTTCACGTGCTTTCAATGTTAGAGCTGATTGGGTTGCACGATCACTTGCTAGATCCTCCCTTCCTGTTGACTGGATTAGTATTTTTGACCTAATTTCGGATTTCCTTTGATTAAGTGTACTCTCGCTTTCTTTGCTTCGAGATGGAAGTGGAATAAAAGTTGAACGTTATTGTAAAAAAAAAGAGTGCTCTCCCAGCTTCGCGTTTATAGTGAAAGGCTAATTAAGCTTAGCTTGTTGATGGAGATGATTTTTTTTTATATATATATTTGTACGTAGTATTAAATTAACACGCCTGATCTAAGTATAGAGAGCAATGCCTATGTTATTGGTACGTGATCGATCGAGAGATGACAAAGACACGCATATGCCATTCACATGGATCCAATTAATAACTATACATTTATAAGTACAATTGTCGCCTTCAACATTTATAAGTACCATGTCTACGTTTATCTTATCGAATGATCTATCGAGTTTTGTTATTTAGATCAATAATTAACCGGAGTTTGGAACATGATACTATACTCTAACCTTTAATGGGTGAACCTCAGTCCCCAATTCTCTAACTCAAACCATAAGATTCATTTAATCTAAAAATGAAAATCTACGATTTTCTGATTCGTCAAAACTATCAAAGTACAAATGATAGGTGTGATCGCAAACGTATAACATACATTTCGCATATATATTGATCCCCACTAAAAACAAATAATATTTAATTATTACCTCCCATGGTTATAAATAGATAAAAGGCCTAATTTTTAAACTAAGTTTTGGGTCGATGAGTCACAATCGCAAGTAGTAAGAAGTACTAGCTAAGTAGCTATATACCCCTCTTCCTTCCAACTAATTTCCTCTCAACAAAACGCATTTTTTTATATGTGGAGAAATCCGTCTTGCGACGATAAAATCCAGCTCCCATAGATACCTGACAAACACTGAGAGCATATAATATGAGATTGCAGCCCTGCGAGTGATCACCAACAGAATAATACAGAAGTAACAACTATGAAAGATCGAATCCAGACCCTCCTCTCCACAATCCTGCGCCTTTACCGCCTCGACCGCACGATGGTTTCAACAAAGTGTTCTATGTGACCGAAGCCATTAATAAGGCACCCGCCATGACCGTATATGCTATGCTAGGCGACATTATTATGTACATTTTCTCCCCTTCTTCATCAAGAGATAAGAACGTATGTGGAGAGAGTGAAGGGGGTGTTGACTACTAATCTATAAAAAAAGAATTAGAATTTGACTTGTATGAGGGCAAACACAACGTAGACATTTCATCGGTTTCGATTTCAGACTTTGACGATACAATATCCTACCTATATATTATTAACAAGATAGAAGTCTGTTGGTTAAATGCATCGTACAGAGTTATATATTATTTACTGGCCGTGTGTAATCTATTTCATGAAGAAAGTTGAAGGCTAAAGTATTTAAAGTTCGATTGGGTACGTAATTACGTGGCTATTTTTTTTATTCTCGATATTGATGTTGGCTATAAGAAACTATGAAAGGAGCGGATACGAGATGTCAGTGCGTTCAGACTCATAGATCGATGGTGAGCCGCCAGTTCGATAATTACGAATTAACAATATCAAATTTAGAACCTCACATTAGCATATTATGATTGGAATCACATCAAGTAACCAAAATTCAACTCCAAACTTCCATTTGAAACATAAATAACATGTTTTTCTTTTACACCTGAAATTAAGTCGATAATCCCCCTATCATTATCACCGCTCGTCGGAGTGATCCCCTGTAGGTTCACCACTTTCAGAAGCAAACAACAATGAAGTCAAACCGATATACCGTCACCTGATTCTATCAGAATGAAATTCAACATTCAAACGTCGAAACTTTCTTCAAATCGTATTGATTACACACAACAAAAAAAACAAAATAATAAAAAAAGTGTCAAACCCAAAACCAAAAAAAGTAGTAGTAGAAGAGGAAGAAACGAGTTCCCCGCCGCTTCACCAACACATGAGCTCACTCACCCACCCATGTAGTAATAATGCATAATACCAACAATGAAAAACCCACCCTTATTGCTTGCATGCAACAATAATAAACACTACAATAAAAACAAAAACAAAACAAAACAACAAATACACATATCTAGTCAACCTAACAGCAAGCTGCCCTTCTCCTTCTCCTTCCCCTTTCATTTCCTCTACTTCTCCATTCCATAGGCAGAGAAGAAGTAAATTAAATGAGCCTGTCTGCCCCTTCTCTCTCTCTCTCTCTCATTATATCTCCCGTCTTCCCCACTCTCAACAATATCCTTCCTTCTCTCTAGAAAACCCACTTCTTCCCTTCTTTCTCTCCTCTCTCCTCCATTGAGAGAAAGGATGAGTTGTTCAAGCAGTACATCACCACCATTTCCATCCAGGGAGAAGCTGGAAGATGAAGAAGAGGGGAAGGGACAGAAGAACCCTAACAACTACAAGAAGGTTTCGTTTCTCAAGTTGTTCTCCTTTGCCGATCTCTACGACTACGTGTTGATGGGGATTGGATCGGTTGGAGCCATTGTCCATGGCGCCTCGGTGCCTGTGTTCTTCATCTTCTTCGGCAAACTGATCAACATCATCGGCCTCGCATATCTCTTCCCCAAGCAAGCCTCCCATCGTGTCGCCAAGGTGATTAATGTTAATAACTCTTAATCAAGAGCTTAATCTTTAGCTTATAATATATAGGTTGCATGATGGAAGGAAAGTTTTTCTTGCTCTCCATCATCGTGTGCCCTTAAACACACTAATTAAAGCCTAAATGTGTAGTTTTTACCATGGTCCATGAAACTGTACCGTACCGGCGGGCGGTTCAACCACAAAATACCAGTATCGGAGGGTAAACCGATAGGCGGTATTTAACGATACTAACGGTTAAACCACGGTTTTGTTATAAAATACCCTACTGCTGAGCTGACTTTCTCGATTTGGCTCTCCGGTACGGTTTCATGGACCATGATTTCTACTAATCGACTTGAATTTTAAGTGGGACCACCTCACCTGTTTCCTGTAGCATTATTTAGGATTTGTTGTTGTTGTCGTCGTCGTCATTCATAGGCCGTTGTAAGCGAATTTACTGCGAAGTTAATTAAATTTCACACATTGAGATGAGTGTTTCGCGCTACGATATTTCTAAAATTCATGTTCACTTTTGTCTTAAATTGTTTTTTTTTTTTTTTTCTTCTTCTTCTTTCTTCCCCTCGCACTGCAGTACTCTCTGGATTTTTTGTACCTGAGCATAGCCATCATGTTTTCGTCATGGATAGGTAATTCTCAAAACTTTGATTACTTCGTGGGTTTCGAATTCTGGGACATGTTTGTGGTAAAATTTTTGGTGGTAATTAAGCACATTAATTATATGTATATGTATGTATAAAGAGGTGGCATGTTGGATGCATAGCGGGGAGAGGCAAGCGGGGAAGATGAGAATGGCGTATTTGAAAGCACTGTTGAACCAAGACATCACCTTATTTGACACTGAAGCTTCTACTGGGGAAGTTATTTCCGCCATTACTTCTGACGTTATTCTTGTCCAGGATGCCATTTCTGAGAAGGTCTGTTTGATGAGTTGTTATTATTTTTTTTTATTTTTTTTTTTTACAGCTCTCCTTGTGCTTAAATTTTTTTTCACCCGATTCTGCATTCATTAAATTCACCCTTTTTTTGTCCTCTTTTCAACCTTCTCCCTCTCTTTCTCTGGGTCATTTTATTAAATTTTTTGGGTTTTTTTTTTTTCCTTATCAAATAATAAATATGAGGTTTTGACTTGTTCAGAGACCTGACAAAGTAAGATTTTCTGGAAGTCAATTCACTGATGGAAATTTATTATTATTTTAGATTGATGATGGAGATTGTTGGAAATGAAATTGGTCAAACCTAAGTTGCAAGCCTCCATTAATTTTCTGTGTCACAATATTATCAATCAATAAAAAAAATAATGATAAAAAAAGGGGGTTCTGCGAAAATAATTCACACTCTACATTTCAGTTGAACCATAATTTTACCTTTTAATACAGGACCTAATTTTATTTTCCTATGCGATCTTTTTCTGTGGAGGATCATATATGTTTTTTTTTTTCAATATAGATTTATATATATGCTTTTGGGAGGTAGGTGAGATGGGAAATTAATGAATGGGAGAAATTGGGGAGAAGGAAAGAAGGAGGTGCAACGGCAAAAAAACGGCAATGAATATATTTATGATGAAGATAGGCAAAGGAAATTGTGGGGACTTAGGCGCCATTTATGAGAAGGGTTTACTGCTTGGTTGGGGTTCCTCCCAAGTTCAACCACCTCTTCTCCTCTCCCTTGAAACATTAGTAGTTGTCGTGTCATTTATGTTCCGATCGAAAATATCAGTGATCGAAACCATAGATACAATTCAGTGTTAACGAGGACTATAAAAGTTGTGATACAACCAACCATGATAGACCACGGCAAAGTATAGAAGCATGCCAACTGATTGGCTTCTAATATGAGATTCAATTTGGATTACATGATTTCAGAAGAACATTCTCTTTGAAAGTAATAGAAAAAGAAATAGATTATCAAAACGACTACTGCTCGATGTTATTCAACTAGCACAATTAAAGCGATGCAAATGCACGTACCATAAAAGTTCATTCACCTTTCCTTTCATGCACCAAATCAATTTTGTGCTATACACACTACTCCCTTTTTGGTACTTGAATTCCTGGAGGTTTGTGGCACACGAAACTTTCAACTAGGGAGTGTAAGCATATCCTTGGTGAAATGCAAATAAGATTAGTCTGAAACAAATTTATTTTGGTGCGGTGCCATTTCCTGCAGGTAGGGAACTTCATGCACTATTTCAGCAGATTCCTGTTCGGGTTCATCATAGGGTTTGCCAAGGTGTGGCAGATCAGCTTGGTCACACTATCCATAGTGCCTTTCATCGCGCTAGCAGGTGGCATCTACGCGTATGTCACCATCGGCCTTCTTGCTAGAGTCCGCAAATCTTATGTCAAAGCAGGCGAGATCGCAGAAGAGGTAGTCATCTGCAACCTATTCATCTAATGGAGTTCAATAATTCATAAATCGTATCATCAACAGTACCATACATGATTTATATTGAGCACAAACGCAACGATCAACTCTAATACTGGAACTGGAGATATATATACCTAACATCATTCCTTTCCCAATACAAAGAAGCCAGTATCATCTCATGCTGATGTTTCTCGTGTCAGGTGATTGGCAATGTGAGGACAGTGCAAGCATTTGCAGGAGAGGAAAGGGCAGTAAGGGCATATGGAGATGCTTTGAGCAAAACTTACGAGTATGGAAGGAAAGCAGGACTAGCCAAAGGGCTTGGACTTGGAACTCTCCACTGCGTGCTCTTCCTTTCGTGGGCTCTGCTCGTCTGGTTTGTCAGCATCGTCGTCCACAAGAACATCTCGAATGGCGGCGAGTCCTTCACCACTATGCTCAATGTGGTCATTTCAGGCCTGTAAGTAGTGCTCAGGCTCAATTATTATATGAACACTCACTAAATCAATTCACTAGCTTATAATATTTTACCTCAAATCATCATTGCTTATCTGACTTAGTTACCTGTTTCATGCTTTTACCACAAAGGTCACTGGGACAGGCAGCTCCAGACATCACAGCATTCATCAGGGCAAAAGCAGCAGCAGGTCCTATATTCCAGATGATAGAGAGGGACACAGTAAGCAAAACCAATTCCAAAACAGGCAAAAGATTAAACAAGCTTGAAGGTCACATCCAATTCAAGGATGTGTCATTTCGATACCCTTCTCGGCCTGATGTAACCATCTTCAACAAACTCCGCCTCAACATACCTTCAGGGAAGATTGTGGCTCTTGTTGGAGGGAGTGGTTCCGGGAAGAGCACAATTGTGTCGCTAATCGAGCGATTTTACGAGCCAGAGTCTGGGCAGATACTGATTGATGGAGTTGATATTAAGGATTTCGATCTCAAGTGGCTGAGGCAGCAGATTGGTCTAGTGAATCAGGAACCTGCATTGTTTGCCACCAGCATTAAGAAGAATATTTTATATGGGAAAGATGATGCCACAATGGAAGAGATCACTCACGCTGCTAAACAGGCTGAAGCTTCTTCTTTCATCAACAACCTGCCTGATAGATTTGAAACTCAGGTACTTGTTTGCATATAAGCAACAATGAACGGAATTGGCCTCTATTAAAGGGTAAAACTGTGTGGTTGTTATGCTATTAATTTTTTGGGCTTTTTGCAGGTTGGGGAGAGAGGAATCCAGCTATCAGGTGGGCAGAAGCAGAGGATAGCAATATCTCGTGCAATAGTGAAGAACCCATCAATTCTATTGCTTGATGAAGCTACAAGTGCACTTGACGCGGAATCGGAGAAAAGCGTGCAGGAGGCACTCGATCGAGCCATGGTTGGAAGGACCACTGTCATTGTAGCACATCGGCTTTCCACCATAAGGAATGCCGATATGATTGCTGTTGTTCAAGGAGGAAAGATTGTGGAAATTGGCAGCCATGAAGATCTCATCGCAGACTCAAAGAGTGCATATGCAGCACTCGTCCATCTTCAAGAAGCTGCATCAAATCAACACCACCCATCTTTAGGTCCTACAGCGGAACATCAGCTGAGGTAGACTTCTGGCCTGACAGTAATGAGCAATGAAGTGATAATCAGGACTTTACGTACAACCAAAGCATGGATACAGTTAGAATTCTAAAATCCAGTAGTAACATTTAAAATCTATAGGTACCTCCTCAAATCTGAAGACAGTTGAGGATGACCGTAATTCGACTACCTTGATAATGGAGGATGCTTAAAACCCAGCCAAAACTGGGGATAAACATAACCCATTAAAATGATATGAAGAGTCATATTATATGCACTGACCTGTCTTTTCCTCTGTCCTTTATCTGATCTCTGTCAGCGGAAAGCACTCTCGAGAGTTATCCCGCACCAGATCTAGCTTTGGAGCAAGCTTCCGTTCTGATAAGGATTCGGTCATCAGCCGCACAGGCTTGGACGGAGCAGAACCGGCCAAGCCAACTACTGTTTCCATGAGAAGACTATACGCCATGATTGCTCCTGATTGGATATATGGAGTATCTGGCGTTGTATGCGCCTTCTTTGCTGGAGCACAGATGCCGCTTTTCGCACTCGGTGTGTCTCAGGCGCTTGTGTCCTACTACATGGACTGGGACACAACTCGGCATGAGGTCAAAAAGATAGCAACCCTCTTCAGCATTGCTGCAGTGTTGACAGTTATTGCTCATGCCATTGCACATCTGTGTTTTGGGATCATGGGAGAGAGACTAACATTCCGAGTCAGAGAAAAGATGTTTTCTGGTAAATTTTGTGGCTTCAAGGGCATGAATTCACCTGACATAACTGCAAAAAGATCCTCACCTCCTCCATACTATCACTTGCAGCCATCTTGCAGAACGAAATAGGATGGTTCGATGACTTGAACAACAACAGCTCTATGCTGACATCACGCCTCGCGACCGACGCAACTCTGCTGAAAACTATAGTAGTTGATCGCTCCACCATTCTCTTGCAGAATCTTGGTTTGGTGGTTACAGCTTTCGTCATTGCATTCATCCTGAATTGGAGAATCACTCTTGTTGTGTTAGCTATGTATCCACTCGTCATTAGCGGACACATAAGTGAGGTAGTATTTAATTTTCTTTAGCACTCTTTTATTTTAAGAAGCATATTTGCAGATATTGACTAACCAATGTGGAAATCAGAAACTGTTCATGCAAGGTTATGGTGGCAACTTGAGCAAAGTATACCTGAAAGCCAACATGCTGGCTGCTGAGGCAGTAAGCAATATACGAACAGTCGCAGCATTCTGCGCAGAAGACAAGGTCCTTGATCTTTATGGGCACGAGCTAGTGGAACCTTCAAAACGTTCATTCACACGTGGACAGATTGCAGGGATATGCTATGGGATATCCCAGTTCTTCATTTTCTCTTGCTATGGACTCGCTCTATGGTATGTGCGTGTGGCTCTCCTTGGGCTTCAGCTTCAAAACTATTTAGTAAAACTATCCCTCTGCACATAGCTATACCAATTTGAGCATCAAAATCGCCCACATATATCAAATTGGGTACTGAAACTCGATACAAATAAAGCACCAAACTCACCCTGGTAACTCACCGTTAGCATTTTTGTCTAGGCCGTCTTAACCTGTAGTTGGTGGACAGCCACCGGCAACATAGCAACAAACTTGACAAAGGAAATGAAGAATGCCTTGACCAAAAAACAAAAACAAAATGAAGAATGCTTTGGGTGATTCATTAGTACAAGTTACCTGCTTTAGTTGTTTCGACAGCAAGTTTAGTAACCAACACGGATATGAGTCTGGGGACCAATTAAGAATGATAAATGACTCTTGCCTTTGATTTGTGCAGGTATGGTTCAACTCTTATGGAGAAGGAAATTGCTAGTTTTAAGTCCGTCATGAAGTCATTCATGGTTCTGATTGTAACAGCACTAGCCATGGGTGAGACTCTTGCATTAGCTCCAGATCTGCTGAAAGGGAACCAGATGGCTGCATCGGTCTTCGAGGTTTTAGATCGAAAATCACAGATGAGTGTAGATGCCGGGGAAGAGTGGAACAATGTCGAGGGTAAGGTTGAGTTGAAGAATGTCTGTTTCAGCTATCCAGCAAGGCCGGAAGTCACCATTTTCAAGGACTTCAATCTGCAAGTGCATTCAGGCAAAAGTGTGGCTTTAGTAGGCCAAAGTGGATCTGGAAAAAGTTCTGTTCTTGCCCTCATTCTCCGATTTTACGATCCAACATCAGGCAGAGTAATGATAGACGGTGAGTGTTCTTCCTTTTCGACTCTTCTAATTATAATCCTTCGTCTTATGGAGAATAATAATTATGATAAAATCCATAATAACATCCATAGGTGAATCATCAGATAGAGTTGCCTACCTGTATAAATAATTACTTCAGTGGCAAAGTTAAGCTCTGAAGTCAAGTTCAGCGACCAATGTTGTACTTTACCTTGGATTGACATCATCTTGGGTACGTTTCAACAGGGAAAGACATCAAGAAATTGAAATTGAGATCGCTCCGGAGGCACATCGGCCTAGTCCAGCAAGAGCCTGCTCTCTTTGCAACATCTATCTATGAAAACATACTGTACGGCAGAGAAGGAGCCACCGAAGGAGAAGTAATCGAAGCAGCTAAACTCGCAAATGCACATAGCTTCATCAGTGCCCTTCCTCAGGGCTACTTGACAAAAGTAGGTGAACGAGGGGTGCAACTATCTGGTGGCCAGAAGCAAAGGGTAGCCATTGCCCGGGCAGTGCTGAAGAATCCAGAAATTCTTCTGCTAGATGAAGCTACCAGCGCTCTGGATGCAGAGTCAGAGCACATCGTGCAGCAAGCACTGGACAGATTGATGAAGAACCGTACGACGGTGATGGTGGCCCACAGACTGTCAACCATAAAGCATGCAGATCAGATATCGGTCATACAAGACGGAAGAATAATCGAACAGGGGACTCATTCAAGTCTTGTACAGAAGAGAGACGGGGCATATTTTAAGCTAATCAACCTTCAACAGGAGCAACAAAAGGGAGCACTAACATGATTTTGTAAGAAGATTATATATTGCAGTCATAGGATACCTGTTCAGTCAACTTCATTTTTCTGCATTCCATAGACCTCCTGTCCTTTTTTTTTATGTTCAGTCTTGGAGTTTTGACTTTGGCTTTGCGATGTATAATAGAGACATGTGATTATTGATATTGAGAGTGTCGAAGCAATGAATAATGGAAAAGCAATTCTCGAAAAGTTTATATTTTTAGATCATAACCCTACAGACACGAAAAGACAATGTGATATAAGTTTTGGCAGCACAGTACCATAAAATATTTGATGAATCAGCTTGCAATTTCGAAATGTCAATTCCTCAAGCACCTTCAAGTTAACAAATAATCTTTTTACTACCATAAATCATTATACTCAGCTCACCACTGTTAGGAACACAGTAAGGCGACAAGAAAGATTCAGCCACTAACTTCACCTAGAACAACCCTAGCACCTTATGCATCATGGTTCTGGAATCTAATTCTCTTTACAGAAGATATGTACCAGAAGTACTTGATAAAATCAGAACCAAACAAAAGATTAGACTAATGGACTACCAAACTCATATTCATCCATTCACGTCACTCAAGTCCAGAACAACCATTAAAGCCACATTAACAGGACTAGCACAAGTACCTGTAAGCTTCTCAAACATCCAAATGGCATCAGACAGAAACTGTCAAACCCCACACAACAACCCCGCTTTTCCAGCCATGACTGCTATGCATCCTGAAATACAGATATATCAATGCAGTTTAGTAAAGAGATGCAGATCTAACAAGCCTTCAGATGGTTAGGAGCCAGTTCCAAGAAAAAGATTTTGTTGAAGTGAGAGGAATGAGAATGAAATGGCCAGGGGAAAATAAACCACCTGGATAAAATTAAAAGTAATAGAGAAAAGGATAAATGAAATTATAAATATAGACAAATCATCTAACCTTGATCAAGCTCAAGAATATCCCTTCTTGTAGGTATTGTAAGCAATATAATCCGGAGAAATGCACTTCTGGGCCATCTGAGCATACAGCTTATCTGCAACACCATTGTGGCCAACCTTTTTATGGCCAGCAATGAGAACAGTGTATGTCACCACATTTGGAAGACATTCGTGCTGTTCCATCTCCTCAAATAATCGGTCAGCCATATCCAGGCGGTTCATCTTACAAAGTCCTTCAATCAGACAAGTATAAGTTACAACATCAGGAATATGGCCATTCCTCAACATTTCCTGGTATAATACATCAGCAGCTCCCATATCCCCAATTTTACAGAATCCAGCTATCATAGATGTGTATGCGATCTTATCTGGAGAGATGCCCTTTCCAATCATCTCCTTCAACAAACTGCAGGCTTTATCCATTTTTCCTTTGCTGGCAAAAATGTTGATGAGAACTGTATATGTAAACATGTCTGGTGCTAATCCAACTTCTAGCATTCTTCTATACAATTTCAATGCAACCATTGCTTTTGACTGTTTGGCAAAACCATCCATGATGATATTATAATGAGCAACATCAGGAAAAACATTTTTCTTAAACATTACAGGAAGAACTTCCCATGCTTTCTCTGACATTCCATTGTGGCACAACCACTTAATGATAACATAGTATGTATGTGAGTCAAGAACAATACCTAGATTTTGCATTTCATCAATAAATTTCAGAGCTTCCACCAGGTGTCCTTCTCTACAATATATGTCAGCAATCACATTGCAGCTGAAAACATTTGGAGCTACAAGAGATTCTCGCATCATTTCAAAAACTTTCAAGGCTTCTTTTAGGTGCCCTTCTTTGTAGAACCCGTGAATCAACCTGTTAAAGGTGAAGGGTTTAGGAGTCAACCCGTTCATAGTCATTTCCTCCAGAAGGTCATTGGCGTTGTCCAGCTTACCCGTCATGAGACAACCGTCAATCAAAATGTTATAGTAAGTCAAGTCATATTCAAAATCATGGTCACCTTTGTCATGAAAGTTCTCCAAATAAAGGTCTACCAATCCAACTTTACATAAACCCGAAACGCGCGAACTGTATGTAACAATGTTTGGCTGGACATTCCAATGCGCCATTTCTTTCCACAAATCGTCACACTTTTCAAATTCACCCTTCTGGCAGAACCCATGAATCAAGATGCTGTAGCTATATATGTCTGGTGATATCCCAGCTGATCTCATCTCTTCCAAGAGCTTCAGTGCTTCATCCACTTCACCTTGCTGGCAAAATCCACGAATAATAGCATTATAACAATAACTATTGAAGAAACAGTTATTGTTCCTCAAATCCCGTACATATTCCAAGGCAGACTCAACAAAACCGACTTTACAAAGAGCATGGACAACCGTACTGTAAGTTACAGCTGTGGGGGTAAGCCCAAATTTCTGCATTTCGTCCAGCACCTCCATCAGTGCACGAACAATGTCTACCTCCAAATCACTATTACGGTAGAAGTTCAGGAGAATGGTGTAGGTATGAACATTAGGACACGGACCAGAATTCCTCAACTGATCAAATACATCGACGAAGAGTTCGTATCTCTTGGATTCCATCAAACACTTCAGCAAGAAATTACACGAAAATATATGAGGTTCGACCTTATTTTCCTTAGCCTGCAAAAACACACCAACCGCATTTTCCATCAACTGCTTCTCGGCCAGAACCTTTATCAGTACACTCAACAAGGAAGATAATACTCCAGCAGTATCAGGGGAATCTATCAGACTTTGAGACAACCCCAAAACATCCAAATCAACCTCCCCGTAATAGGAAACAATATCTCTAAGCAAAATTTGAACGTTGTTCTCTATCCCCGCTACCGCAAACACCTCCATGATCATTTTAAACGCATGGAATGAATGAGCATAACCGTTGTACCTCACCGCCTGAACAAACTTAACTTTCTTCACCTCCCCCAAATTCAAAGTCTTCACAACCGTAGCAACAAACGCGAACAACTTACACGTCTCTTGATCACTAACCTCCTGGCAGGGCACAACTGATTTCTCTACAACAGCAGTGTTGTTGTTGTTAAGGACGGGCAAAACGTCGAACACCTGGTGTTCATCAGACGCCAGTAGTGCAGAGGAGACGGAATAAGCCGATTCAAGCCAGCAAGGTCTTCGGAGACATGTTCGAGATAGAGAAAGAACACCCATCAACAGTAAAGCCCGCCTAAGTAGTTATATTCCGAGGAACTCAGAGGATGCTCCATAACTAGGACTCGAGGAGTAACTCTAATGTGAGCTTTATACCTTTGAAAGAACCCTCTAAATATTAAGTCGCGAAAGTTCAGCAGAAAGCTAGAAAGGAAAATGGATGAGGGCAACTGGCCGGCGGCCGCCGCTACCGGTTTACAGGATAAACGGTCGAAAACGAAGCCGGCCGCGGTTCTCGCTCGTCGCCGCTTACGAGTTGGGAGACGGGCGGCGGAGTGGAAAATGAAATTTCGCGGGACAGTTTAGTGTATAACGGTGCCTTACAAAAGGGTACATTCACCCCTCTAAACTTGGGTGCGGATAGTATAACAACACACTTAGTGTTGTTATACTAACAACAGAATTCATTAAGGGTATAAGGGTAAACTTAACCAAAATCTAATAAAATTAAAATTAAAATATATTCAGCCCACCAACCCTTCTTCTTCTTTCTTCCGCCCCTCTCCAAAGTCTCTCCTCCAGCGCTGACGGTAATCCTCTTCCGGCCGCTCAATTCTCTTCCGCCACCACTCAATCCTCCTCCATCCAAGACGTATCGTCCTCCTGGCGCCGACGCCAATCGATCGATTTCAAAGGCGCAATCTTCCGCCCTGCAATCGTCCCTGTTTCTGTCAAGTAGGAGGTGGACGCTGCACTCCGGCGTCGAGACGACGAAATCGTCGTTGAGATGGCGACCGCCGATGACAAGCCTCGGGATTGAACAGAGATTCTGGTGATCTCAAAGATTCGCAGCTTGATTTCATGAGTATAAGCTTCCGGTGCTGCGAATCGCAGGGTAGCCGTCTTCCCGTCGAGAAGCCGCGCGAAGGTCTGGAGCGCCACTCCATCCGCCACTCTGTGGTTTTCCATCGTCGTCGATCGACAAGTTCCGGATTCTGTTGCTCAGGTAACTTGTATTTACAGCTACAAAATTAATCACACTTTGAGGAGTTTTTTGACTTCATACAGACGCCATGAGCCAGAACATGACATGGGACGACACAGCAAGGAGAAACCCAGAGATGAAAGCCAAAGCAATGGAGATTTGGAACCTTTTGCATGGGAAGTGAGGTGTGGCATTGCAGTAGTGCAGGTCTCAAGCCTCCAAAATTGTGACTCATGCTGATGTCGATGCTGCTGCAAGTGACAGGATAGATGTCACCTGCATATTACAAAAATTCAGATAAAATGATACCGGGTTATGAAGCTCGACCTAAGAGAAATGAAATGTGAACAATTATGTGGAACAACATAGTGTCTGAACTATCTACCCAATTCTTATAGATATGCTTACGAGAAGAATGCATGAAGCTGAAAAAGATTCTTTGTATGTGCATTCAAGTGTGCAAGGACTAGAGAAGAAGATAGTGATCAACCACATGTTTGAAGTCTACTGTGATCCTATATAGAAAGTGCAAATGATCAATTGAAATAATGTTAGCTAGTAAAAAAGTATTGGAATGCACCCCATAAATCTTATAAAACATACCACAAATATCACAAAAGCATACCACAATTATCTCGAAAGCATACTAGAAACCTCCTAATGCATACTATAAATTGTCTAAAACATACCAGAAACACGGTAAAACAAACCAGAAATATTTCTAAAGCACACCAGAAACCCCCTAATACAAACCACAAACACGGTAAAACAAACCAAAAACGTCCTAATGTACACCACAAATATATCAAAACAAACCAGAAACCTCGCAAACCAAACCACAAAAGTTTCGAAAGCACACCAGAAACTTCGTAATGCAAACCAGAAACCTCCTAATGCATACCACAAATCTCCTAAAACAAACCACAAACCTCACAAAGCAAACCACAACATTTGCGAAAGCACACCTGAAACCTCCTAATGCAAACCACAAACACGTTAACGCAAACCAAAAAAGCAAACCATAAACGTCCTAATGCAAACCACAAATATATTAAAACAAACCAGAAACCTCACAATGCAAACCACAAAGTTTTTGAAAACAAACCAGAAACTTCTCAATGCAAACCACAAACACAATAAAACAAACCATAAAAGGCATAAAAAAATATGAGAAACCAAACCATAAATCTCACAATGCAGACCATAACATCCGGTGGTCGTTGACCGTTGACCGGTCAACGAAGACCGTTGACCGAACTCCGGTGACCGTCATTGAGCAGATTCCGACGCCGATAGGCATATTCCGGCCCTGGTGACTAGATTCCGACGCCGGTAAGCATATTCCGACGCCGGTAAGCATATTCCGACTCCGGTAAGCATATTCCGGCCACAAAATAGCATATTCCGGCGGCAAAAAGCATATTCCGGTGACCGGCGACCATTTTCCGGCGACCGGTGGCAGAATTCCGACGACCAAATTTTTGGACAGAAAATAAAAAATATTTTTTTTTATTTTTTATTTTTTATTTTTTATTTAAATAGATTTTTCATAATGACAATTATACCCCTGCTTTGATTTTACACTAGGTCAACTCATTTAATAAAAAGTCATCACAATCCTAGCTTCCTATTGGTTGGGGACTAGTGTTGTTACAATAACAACACAATAGGTGTTGTTACAATAACCTGTCCCTCTAAACTTTGAGACTCACAACAAATTGGTCACATAATTTTGATTTCTAATGCATTTGTCACTGAAGTTTGAATTTTCACCATTTAGTTTAGTTTTGGGGTAAAATGTCAATTTGATTACTGAATTACTAAAATGTTTCATGTTTGTTACTAAAAATTCAAGTAATGACTTTTTTTTTTTTTGCCTTCTATCTAATTTAATATTTTGTGGTGTTACTAAACAAATTTATTGTGCAAAATATTGACTTCTTCCTCCATCTTCCACTCAATACAAAAATAATTCAATACAATGTAACAAACTAGATCGTCCGTGCCTGCCTCGCAGGCTATCTTTCTAGTAATTAATAATGATTCAACGTAATTTCTCAATCCTAATTTCTTCTCTTCTCCATAAACTGGTAGTCAAACGATTCATTATGTTCTTCTCAAATTTTTGTCGAATGCTCCCTTATTTATGTCCCTAACCACATCCTGTCAGGTTAATCTCATTTGCCAAGATCATATTATCATCATTAGGGGTTTCCTTTGTTTAGAGTTAAGCAAAAATAATAATTAAATATAAATATATAATTTCGTGTAGAATAAATATCCTACTAGTACAAGTTACAACAAATATTGGGAGAAAATTATAAAAAATACACTCAGTGTCTACATTACAATGCTTAACAAATATTTTTTCAATATATCTTATTAGATAATTATTCACAAATTGATCGTCTATTCATATACGAAATTTGTTCTTGACATCACCCAAAACAAAAAATCTCTTTCAACACTTAAAAAAACTTGCTTAATTGTAGATGGTTTAATTTGTTTATGATCGGTGTGTTAAGTTGGATGATTAGTCAATCACATTTACTTGTTGAATAGTTCCCCTCTTTGCAGGATTGGGGTGAAAGGTTGAGCTGGGCAGTATCTTATTTGGAGTGAAAAAGACCCAGCCGAATCAGTAAAATTGTCAATTTGATGACTGAATTATTAAAATTTTTTTTGTCGTCTATCTAATTTCACATTTTGGGATGTTTATTGAACAAATTTATAGTGCAAAATATCCTTTTAATGGATTGACTTCGTCCTCCATCTTCCACTCAATACAAAAATAATTCAATACAATGTAATAAACTAGCTCGTTCATGCATATGCCTCGCAAGCTATTTTCTTGGTAATCAATAATAGTTCAACGTAAACTCTCAATCCTAATTTTCTCTCTTCTCCCTAAACTAGTCGTCGGTCCATTCTCTATGTTCATTCCAAATCCTCGTCGAACTCTCCCTTTATTTATGTCCATATTCACATCATGTCACGTTAATCTCGGTGCCAAGATCAAGTTGTCATCATTAGGGGTTTCCCGTTTAGTATCAAATGAATCAAGAATTCATTTCATTGTAAAATGAATTACCGTGTAGAATTCATTGTCAAATGAAATCTTGTGCTTGGCATGTCATATTCAAATCTTTAGAAATAAAATGAATTTTCGTGTAAGTGTTTGGTATGTCATATATATATATATAAGTAATTTAGTTAATAAAGAGGATAATTATGTCATTCTATTATAATTAGTAAATAGTTGGGGAATTCATTTGGAGATTCCATCTCAATTCCTTGGAATTGCTATAACTAGTACCAATTCCATAGAATTCAAAATTTAGAATTGGAAATAAATTCTTTTAAATACCAAACACAAAAATGTTTCATTTCAAAACGAATTACTCAAAACTTATGAAATTCATTTATACCAAACGGTATGTTAAACAAATAATAATAAAAAGTGAATATAATTCTTATAGAAGAAAATATCCTACTCGTACAAGTTACAACAAAATACCACGATTTGTTTTCATATTGGGAGAAAATTATTAAAAAAACACCCAATGCCTATATTATAATATTTAACAAATATATTTCAATGGTGGCGTATTCAGTGCACCCACTTTTTTGGGTGCACTCAGTGCACCCGCCTCATAATTGTCATTCTGAGCATGCGATCCTTGTCAAAACGGTATCAATTGTTGCTTATGATATTATGAACAAGAAGCACATGATTTTGAAAAAAAATCATTCAAAATTTACTTTAATTTGAAAGATTTAGGTTTTGGGATTTAGGGTTAGGGTTTAGGTTTACAATTTGGAATTTTGGGTTGGGATTCAAAATTGAAGGTTAAGAGGTTAGGGTAATAGATTGATTTGTTATGATTCTATCTAATATCATCATATTAGATTGAGAGTACTAATTAAAATTCAAAATTTGATGTACTATGAACACTTTTAGAGTTGGGTGCACTGAGTGCACCAAAAAATGTGAGTGCGCCGAAGTAGCCACCATATTTCAATATATTATATTAGATAATCATTTGCAAATTGATCGTCTATTCATATTCAAAGTTTATTCTTGACATCACCTAAAGCAAAAAAAATCTCTTTCAACACTAACCGTTGCACTCGATAAAATCAATAAAAAAAGATTTTGAGAAAGAAAGCCCAGTTTGGTTTTCCTTGAACTTAATAATTGTTATGATCAGCCTGCTTAACCCATTGTGGATTGTGAATGAGGAAATTGGATGCCCCTCGCTGAAACTGACCCAAATTAAACAAAAAAAACTTCCTATATCCATCCTAAGTTCCTAACCTCAGCATCCAACGAAAAAAAAAAAACAACTATACCAACGAAGAAGGAGACAATCACAACAACACAGCTGCTTACCAAGTCTGACCCACTCCCTTGTTGCCTAGTTGTTTCCCTTCTTGCTGGCCGGTCAACAATGGCACAGCTGCTGACCAAGTCTCAATCTTTTACCCACTCCCTTCCTTCCTTCTGCTTGCCGGTTCTTCACCTACCACAATCATCAACTCTCTTCCCCTGCATATATATAAAGCCATGTTTTCCCCTGCAGAATGTCAACACACAACAACAACAACAACAACAACAACCCAACACTTCTTTCCCCAAATCAAGAACAAACAAAGAAACCACAATCACTCCTTATTTCAACCATGTTGAGAGCATTGAGCACCCGCAGAAGCCACGGCAGGTATGAAAAGCTAGTTGACAAGGCTGAATCTTCTTCAGCCGGTCTTCTGGGAGGTAGTAGTAGGGATTTTCAGCTTAAGAGGAGCAACACCTTGCCAATTCGGTTTCTGGGTTGCTGTAGAGGTAGTAACAAGGTGTCTGTGGAGCTGAACTTGCCATCACTCCCGGCGGTGAAACCGGCCATGAAGGTTAACAAAAGCCACCCGCTTTTCACCCTCTTTGATAGACGGCGGCAGAACAGGAGGACCACTTCGAGGCCGGAGTTTGCTAGGTATATCGAGTATGTCAAGGAAGCTGGTTTGTGGGATAAGAACTCTGGCATGCCTGTTATGTACTACAAGTGAAAAGTTTAGGAAAGTTTCATGCTTTCGGCCATGTATTGATAGGAAGGCTTTTTTCTTATATTGGGTTCCTTGGATTGTGTAGAAGAAGCTGTGATTAGTTCCTTTTTTTGGGATAGTTTTTTTTTTTGGGATTGTGTAGAAGGAAGGAGGATTGTTCTGGTTTTGTTTACTAGCTTAACTTAATGAAAACTTTGCTCTTGACAATCTCAATGGCTTCTTTGTGTTAAAAGTTCTTTCCTGAAGACTGAAGTTGCTTGAAAGTCCATTTATGGAGAAAATGTTATCATTCTTGGATGGCAGGCAGAGAGGCTTGAGAAGTTTCCACTCAGACACGAATGCACGGATAAATGTGTTGGATGGTTGAATGAATTGAAGATTCTGATGACAGTTTTGTACTGCAGATTTAGATTGAACCTGAAATTCCTGATGAACTTACCTTATCCATGAAACTTTGTGGTTTACTAGTAGTAAGATTGGAGAGAGACAGCACAAGTTCTACTTGTAAGCAATCTATTTATGATGGTCTGTGATGGTTATGCAGCTCTAACTAAATTTCCCAGTCTACACCAACATCATTCGAATCGCGACCTGTTTGTCAGCAGGTCTATCTAGAACATGCATTAAACAAGCTCTGTCAAATTTAGTATGCATTCTAAATACAACATGAACTACCTGAAAGAGGAAGAGAAGCAGAACAAGGTAAAGAGGAAAAACCATGAATAAGAAAGACTTGAGAATTCATAGAAGTGAGATTTCAGGGGTCGAGGTGAAAGCAATATTGTTTGTGAAACTGTAACGATTTGTTCTACAGATTCAACCATGATTGGCACAATCCTGTTTAAATCCTGAATCGCTAGTGTCACTGCTTCAATCTCGAGTACGATTGCATACATGTTGAAACAAGAAAAACAAGATGAACTGGTTGGAGGGAAACTTGATTCTTAGCATCCTAAAAGCTTAAGAGGTCTGATCTGTGGCCATTTGATCTGCTTCTTGTTGCTGCTGTGAGTGTTCCCATTTGTTCTGCAGTTCTTCTTCTCTTCCTTTCTGGTTTTACTGCTGCTGCCTTTCTTTGAATCCTTGCCCTTTGTCTCTCCTTCTTCCTCCCTCTCCTCCTCTACCTAAAAAGAGTCGCACAAAACCAACCCCAAATGAAGAACATTGTTGGATGACATAAGATTAAACAACCTCCCTAATGAAGATTATGATGGATGGTTTAAAGCTAATATTAAAAGAGTTGTGCTTTAATGATGTTTCACTAAGCATAAGAGTACATGAATACTTGCCTGCTGAAGGTGAGATCTAGCAAGGTGGTGATGAAGAAGAGGGTGGCGCGGATTGGAAAGACTGAATGTTGGGAAAGACGAGGATGGCGTCTGGCTTCTCGACCCTGTCGCGGTGGTGGTGGTGGTGGTAGAGGAGGCGGAGGTGCAGCCGCCTCCTGATGTTTGTGATGAACTAGTGGAGGTGTTGGTTGACTCCATCTCTAGGCACAACTGAAAAGATGAAATGAAGAAACTACACATAAACAACGACATCGCCGCGCGAAATTGAGAAATTTGTACAATAATTCCAAAGATTCTTGTTCATGTAGCCTAGACATTCTCATATTAACAATTACTTTATTCGCAATACATTCAAACATTTACATTTAGGATTATTGAAGCTGAGTGTATAAGATACAATTTTAGATCATTCGAAATCGTTTCAGAATGAACCAACAACAGAACCTGAAAGAGACGGTGTTCGAGAGAAGCGACACGATCCAGCAGAGATCCTTTGAAGTAAGCCTCCCTCATTGCCACTTCAAGCAATGCCGCAGTTTGCTGCTTAGCTGCCTCTCCTCCTCCTCCTCCTCCTCCGCCACCCAACCCCTTTTGGGAGTTTTGTTTCCCTTCCAAGTACTTCATCTTCAATGGAACATTGAAGGGAAACACAGGTAAGTTACGAGTTCGTAAATACTCGACAAACTCATGTAATGCGAAAAAGGAAAAATGGAAAAGAGGAAGCTCACAAGGGAATCCAGGTGATCCAATCTGGAAACAAGGGGAACAGGGAACTGATGATTAGCAGCTGCCTGTTGCTTGTGCTGTTGAACTCTGTTGGCTCCTCCTTCTACCTGCATTATTCCTGACATCACCTTAACTAAACAATCACTAATTACCAATCTCTAACACTCTTTTTTCTTAATCTCCCTATCTGTATTTTCCCCCCCTCTTCAAAGTTCCCTCAAAGCTTAGATTTGCCTTTCTTTGTGGTGTAATTATCATCATGTTATCACTCTCATTAATCAAGCAAGTTTTGTGGTGAAGTTTGACAATTTCAGACTTCTCCCTTCCTATTTTTGGTAGTCTAAGATAGGTTTCCGTTTCCCCTAAAAATTAGGCTTTATTAGGCCTTAATTTGAGAGTTGAAGAATAAATCAACGATTGGTAATTTCTAATTTGAGTAGTAGAATAGAGTCTTCACGCCAGAGTTTTTTGCCTTATCACTCGGACAGCACTAACTTATTAATAGTGGAAAGGAAGGAAAAGAATATGGAATTGTAATTCTAGGCTATATAATCAGACAGAACAAATACCTGCAACTCAATTTTAATTTTTATTACTAGATAACACATTAGCAAAGGGAGTAAAAAGAGTGAAAAAGATTTCACATTTGATGAGAGAGCCTTTTCACTCAATGGAACCATATGCTAGAGTAGAGTTTCACATTCAGCAACAAGCAATGTGATTCAACAAGAAGCAATCCCCAGTTAGTTCACATTAACTCCTCAATCAATCAATCAATTCGATTCATCCCAGGCTCGACTTTGTGACCTCGTACGCCAAGAAACATGCTGCATTTGCAGGGATGCTACGCCCCATGGCAGGGCCGAAGCCTTTGTACAGCCCCTTGACACCTTCTGCAGCCAGAATCTTCCTAAACGCATCCATGGATCCGGAGTACTTGGGTTTACTGTAATCATCGACCTGGAGGGCGCTCTTCACAACGTCTGTAGGGTAGACCGATCCCCAGAAGGATGCCCCAGCGAGGCCTCCAGCCAGCATGAGGGAACCTCTGCCTAGCTTGGACGTGTCCTCCCCACCTGCCATCTTCTGCTTCAGCAGCTCGTAGACTCCAAACATGGCAGCATTGCCAGGAATCTCGCGGGCCATGGTGGGCACCAATCCTTTGAATAGCCCCCTAGTGCCGCCTTCTGATCTCAGTACTTGTTTGGCCACGTCCATTGGCCCGCCGTACTTCAATGCCACGGTGGCTGCAGATGAGTCAGCCACTGCCAGTGCACTTTGCGCTTGCAACCTGTTTGTTGCCAAAAACAAGAATTTGGTAAATGTGAAGATTTGATGAGCATGGTAATCTGTGTCAAGGCCAAGGACTTGTTTGGAAGCCATAGGCATTGTTTCCAACTCTCCCCTTCCATGTCTCATGGTGGTTTATGGATAACAGGTGATGAAGGTTGAAACTTGAAAGGCATGAAGAACAAAGTGTCTAATCTACACCTAGCTCTAACAGACCATCACTTCTCTCATACTAGACTACACATTCATGAAAAGCTTGCACCAGTGAAACCATGTTACTAACCTGCACTTGACCAACTCAGTAGGACAAGCAAGAATAGAGACTGCCAATCCAGCACCAGCACCACAAATAACCTGCTGACCAATGGTGAGCGTAGCGCCAGGTTCAGACCTCAGCAGAGCCTCCATTTGTCCCCTCACAGTGAAAAGCACAGCATTGAAAGCAGCAACTGTTGCCAGAGGAGCTCCCATGCCCTTGTACAGTCCACCAGCGCCTTCAGCTGCTATAGTCTGCTTGACTGCATCAAAAGCGCCGGCATACTTTGGAGGCTGGCCAGGAAGTGGAACAGGCTGGCTTTGGAGCTTGACTTTTATGGTGTCAAAAGGGTGTCCAACTACCAATTGTGCTGCCCCTCCTACTGTCCCGGCAGCCAAATCCTTGGCGACGTCTCCCATCTGCAGAGCAATATTCAAGTTCAGTTGCCATAAAAGGCAGAAGCATTTTAGTGTTGTTTGAATGCAGTTGAGGGAAACTTGGAGCAAGGTTGGGACAGAAGAATATAACCAAGGCAGGATTGAACTAACAAGAGTTGCTTGATTAGAAGTTCATATTGGATTAGTTTCCATCATAAACCACTGTGGTTAAACAAAATTTTGCCACTCTCCCAAATATTTGGGCAATTAGCCACTTAAAACTCAATCATCTGCTCCTCATAAAAACAGACAATTATTGGTTTTAACATTGCAAATGAACAAAAGCAACTAGAGGTTAAGAGAAAAGAGTAAAGAGAAGAAAAAGATTTCCATAGAAAATGTTGCTTTTATAGCCAGATTCAAGGAACAGAACTAGCTTAATCAGAAGTTCACATTGGGAAAAGATTACAACCATAGTAAATTTCTTCAATTTTCACAGATATTTGCCACACTATAGCTCACCTGATTCACGTGGATCAGCAAAAGACTACTGAATTCACCAACTGTGACTCAATCTAGAACAAACAGTAATTGGCACATTGCAAATCAACACCAAAAACGTAAGAGAATCCCACACAGGATAAGATCTTCTACATCCTAAAAATAGAGATTCCAGAATTTCAACGGAACAGAACAGGGAAACGAACGAATCCCACCTTTTAAATCGATGAACCCACCAAAAAGAACCAAGAGCCGAATCGAAACCGAGGATTTCGAGCCTCGCCCAGATGTTCCAATCTGAAAAAGAACGCAAATTGAACATTATAAACAGAAAACAATCTTCATCACATCCCAGAATCATGGAGGAAAAAGAAAACAACACACGACAACAGCAGAGTAAGCCGAAAAGCTACCAGAAACTCTGCTGGCGTAAACTTGTAGATGAAGAGAATAGAAAGGGGAGAAATGGCGGGGGGCAGGGTTTTATAAATCGGGGTTGTGAAGAGAGCTGGAGAGAGCCACAAAAAAGGGTAGAGGATTGAGGGTGGATGAAGACAAGAAACGCCCGGCCACAGCAACCCACGATTTTGGAAGAGAAACTGGCGATGGCGATTGGGCGTTTGGTTTTTGGAGCTGTGCTGATGGTATTAAAGTGTAGGAAGGAAGAAGGAATTATGGGGCTGAGGTTCGATGAGTGATCTCAGTGCCTCAGTGGACAATTTTGGCGACACCAGCGAAGGCCGTCAGCAGCTGTCCAGTCTTTTTTTAAGGGGGATTCTGGGGAAGAGACAAAACAGAGAGACTGAAAAAGGTAGTCGTTTTATATGGAAGGAGGCTGCGTCGGAGGCGGGGTTGGTGCACCTACAAATTATTACTCCACATTTATAATAGACATTAAGTCCATTAGGAAACCCGAACTATTAACTTTGTGTCATTTGTGTCCCAAAGTATCTGATACGACATTTGTGTCCTAAACTATTTTTCTGTTAGAGTTGACTGGCGTTGACCGTTAATTTTTAACAGAAAGTCTAGTCAGCGCTGATGTGGCATCTGACGTGGAATTTATAATATAAATTTTCAGTTATCTTTCATAAATAAGAATAAACTAAAAATAAAAAATAATTACAAAAATAAAAATCTATCTCCTCCAGGCTCCCAACTTCTTCCTCTTCTTTCGTCAATTCCATCCGCCACATAGCCGTCGGACTTGTTGCTGCTGAGGCGGCTACTGCGTGGCCTGAGTTTGATGGCCGTTCCAAATAGCCGCCAGAGGAGGCTACGCTTGAGGTCGAGTATTGGAAAGGAGTCCGAGAGAGAGAGAACCGAAGGGGATATTAATCGCAGTGGAGGAGCGGAGCAAATGATTTCCCGCAGCGACCGCCACCGCCGCATCCGCCAACTCTACCTCTGCGACCGATGTCGCTGTTGAGTTGGAGGTTTTAAAGATTGGATTTGACAGGGAGGTGGTTGCACCTACAGCAGATCTGATTTTTGCATCAATTCATAAAAAAAAAACAGATCTGATTTTTTGGCAGAGTGAGAGACAAACACGAACGGAGAAGCACCTCCTCGTCGAAAACATCTCGTCGGCCGACGAGTGTCGCCGCCTTTGCCTCTTTCCTTTTCTCTCACTCTCCTTTCGTTTTCGCTGAACTGTAGCTTGCCGTAAGAAATTTAACTTCGTTGTTCTCCTTGCTACAGCTCTTGCTTCAAACGCTGCTGGTGTCAAGATATTAGGTATGGATCGTCCAACTCCCCCATTTTTTTCAATCGTACCCAGAAACCCAACTGAGGGAAAATTGCCAGATCTGTCTTGATTTTGATTTCGGGTCGGTAACGTGATTCCCAGGCGCTGCCGTCGTGGAGAACCCAGCAACGCGATTCCCGATTCCGTCGTCGCTCTCCCTCTCTTCGCCCAATTGGTTTCTCCACCACCAACGGAATCCACTATTCCAAATGTCGTCTTCACTGGTGGCGACGACGGCTTACAGAGCCGGAGAAACCAATAATTTTAGGGTTTCTTTAACTTTTTATTTTTTTGTGTTTTTGTTATTTGATAAAATAATTAAATTTTGAACCAAAAATTAATATTTAATGATGTGGCATCTACGTGGCAACAAGCTTTTTTGCCACGTCAGCAAATATGTGACGGTCGTTTGGTCAACCGTTATCTATAACGGTCAATAAAATTGTCAGGACATAAATGACACACAATTATAATACGTTAGGACACAAATGTCGTATCGAATACTTTATGATACAAATGGCACAAAGTTAATAGTTCAGGTTTCCCAGTGGTATTAGCCCTTTATAATAATAGCATTTCTTAGGTCTTACATAAGAACCTTATTAGTATTTCTTCACAAGGTCATACAAAAATATAGGGCTGTTAATCGGTCAGCGGTTATTCGGTTAATCGAAAAATCGAACCAAAAATGTCGATTTTACAGTTAACCGAAAACCAAAATATTAATGCGGTGTGCGGTTGCGGTTGGTCAATTCCTAGCGAAGGAGGCAAAATTCGGTTGGCGGTCATAACCGAAACCGCGCGCGGTTAACCGCCCTAACCGCGAATCTCACTCCCACCTGGCCAAACGGCGTCGTGCCTCGCCCAGGTCTCCCTCTTTTCGCGATTACAAAGTAGAACTGAAAAGGGGAACCCTAAATTCGACCTCCCAAAAAATTTCTCTGCCCGCCAGTCCGCCACCTCCTCCGATTTCCTCCCCAAATTGTTATTGCCGGCGGCGGCCAATAACGATCAAAGCAAGCTGGTCCATTTACCAAGCAAGTTGCTCCAATTTTATTCAACCAAGTACGAGTGTAAAATATTTGTAAGTGAGTATGGAAACTTTAGAACAAAATCAGAGCCAGTTTTGACGGAAGTAAGGTGAGTGTAAAGGGGGTAAATTCTACGTCTTGCGTGTTCTTTCAAGTTGGACGAGCTTTAAGTAAACCCCAGCCCTCCCGGCCGCCTGTCGTCGTCGTCTTCGCCTCGTCATCGCCAAGGCGTCCCAGTCCATCGAATCCTCCCGCTCCCGCCGGTAGTCCTCCCGCGTCTTAGTGTATCTACAAGCCCATCAAATCATCCCGCTCCCACTGCGAGTCCTCCCGTTGCACAGCCGATGACTGCCATCGTCTGTCGTCCTCGGCTCCTCCGTCGCCTCGCAGTCCCGCCATCGCCCATCAATCCTGAGGTCGCTCAGAACTCGTCGTCTCCGTCCTCCCTCCCAGAACTCGTCGCCACTCCCAGAACTCCCGCCGTCGTCAGCGGTCTCGGCTAACCACAGAGACAAACCGAAACTGTCGGTCGTGGTTAGCGGTTAACCAAAGCTCCCTTCGGTCGCGGTTTCGGTTGTCGTTTCTATGACACTTTCTGTTGCAGTTCGGATAAACCGAAACCGCACCGACTAACAGCCCTACAAAAATCAATGTATATAATATATAGACTACAAGGACTAAAAGGCAAAAGCGTGAGTTCTCGGTGATAAAGAGTAACCTTATAAGCTAAACACAATCAGTTAATAAATTTGTCAGCTCTCTTAAATAGTAGGAGGACAACTGTGCAATTATCGATTTAATTTGTATATTAATTTTGATTATGACTTTATTTGATTAGATCATAGATTTATGGTCATGCTCCAAATCCCACCTCTTGACATAGGATTTGCAAGTTCATAAAACCCGCGAATTTAGAGTCATAAACCTCACAAATTTGATCTCTCAATAAAGTTCAAACAAACAATTTTTTGGTGCATAGTACGTGATGAATTGGATTTGGGACAAAATCCATCATATAAATCCACCATAGACTTGTAGTTCTGGTTTTTAACTACCAAGATTGTGGGCCCTTTTGGTTTTGGACTTCGGTTTTTTTAGCTTTTGGATGACTGCTAGCCCAAGCCAAGAGGAAACCAATAAGGTGGCACATTATCAAGAGTCCAGCCCAAAACGGCCAAAGTTCCAAGGCCCGTCATCCAAACAAAAGCCCAACTGAAACCAGAGGACAGAAGGCCCTCGTTTTTGTCGTGCTATATTTTAGTACATATAATATTTTCTTCTCCTTTCCAGATGGGAACGCAATTAACTAATTACGTGAACAAAACAATGTCAGATCTGATGTTAATAATAACATAATCCATTTTTTAAGTATGAATACATATCTCTATCATTGATTTTCCCTTATACGGAACATGTTCAACATATAACCATGATAACGACACATGTTGACAACCAAAATAGGTCTCAATTCTCAAACATAAAAGAAAGCTGAATTTCCAATGATTAGCTAAAATCAGAAGACACCATAACTTTCATTTCAAACACACTATTTGAACACGTATTACTCGAAATAAGTGTATTATCAGTGGTGGAGTTACCCATTATGTAGTTTAGAAGGAACTACAACCTCGTTTAATTTCTTTTATCTACAGTTATAATATATGTACATACTTCGAAAATCATATAAAGTGGTAGAATTTACTATTAGTTTTAGCTCCTTCAAAATTTAAGTTTAATCGTAAAAAATTATTTGTAATTAATTATTTTCAGCCCCCCTACTCAAAATCTTTGCTTCACTGTGTATTACTGATATAATTATTCAATCATTAGAGTACTCGACTTTTAAATGTGATTATTTCGTGTTTTAGATTTAAATGAAGAATAAAACTAGTTCATACCATTATGATAATTTATCAAATCACGATTAATTATGACATGATGAAACGCTTTGTTTTTTGCACTCTCTCAATCTCACCTTTCACATTCAAGAGTGTTAGTTATAAGCCCAATAATACTTTGAAACTTCATACATCAGCCAATCTAGAAAGTAACTATTTCGTGTTAATGTTCAATAATACAATTTGACTAGTAAAGTTTTTACATATTGCTGATGAAAAAATGAAATCATTTCTCACAGATTTTATGGCTCTTTGTGATTCTTTACTATTGACGTTCGGCTCGCTCGTTGACTAATGTTTTATTTTGTGCGATGTACAGGTGATTGTTCGGAAATCAACACGAGGGATTTGTCGCACGTGGTCGGTGGAGCTCTCCTGAAAGAGATACAGGTGTTATGTGCTTATTTAATTCGTGCAATGTTCCATTTCGCTTCCCGTAAGTATAATAGGGCTACTCACAGCGGCGGATCCAGGACTGGGTAGAGCACCGAGCCACATTTTGAAAAGAGGCAGAGTGGGCTGGGTCGTAGCTCGACAAACACTTTAACGATTATCGAAAATAAAACATTTACAAGTGCTATACTAGCTTTGATCCATAGAAGGGCTAGGCCGCATCCCCCGTGAATCCGCCGCTGGCTGCCCATATCGTGGACAAGCCCTTGGAGCGATGGTGCAAACAATTATCGACCATCGAATTTTGCTCATTTAAATTTTCTAATTTGGTCTTAGCAGAACTTGTATATTGTCGTATCTATACCGCTTCTTTTAAGAGATAACTATGGAGAAAAAATAAAATCAATAGTAGATGAAAATTATTTGGTAAAATTTTCATCAAAAAAGTAATATAGGTAAAAAAAGTTGCAATAATAATATAGTAAAATTTTGTAATTTTGCATGAGGGTAAACCCGAAGTAAGCTATGCAAAAGACACCTTGCCAAAAGGGAACAGAACAATTCCAACACATATACTCAGCCGTTGGTGTATTTATTCATCCAATTGCCCGAATATCCTTTCTTCATCCCCTTCCCTTCTCTTCCCTCCCATCCCTTTCAATCCCAATCCCCATTACACCAAGAAGAACAAGAAGAAGAAGAAGTGCTTGAGAAGCAAAAAAACACAAAACCTTAAAAGGGCGAGGTAGCCCTCCCTTCTTCTCTTTCCTTCCTCCATTCTTTCTCTGAGCGCAAATCGGTTCCAAGCGAAGAAAGGGGGGAAATAAGAAAGAAGAAGAAGAGGGTAAATTAATCAATGGAGGGCGGGAGAAATCAATTGAATAGCGGGAATGGGACTGGGGATAATGTTGTTCGATCTGGGTTTCCTCTCAGCTTCTGGGAAGCCGCCGTGGGCGCCCTCGTCATTCTGGGATTCGCCGTGGGTCTTCTCCTCGTTTACCTCACCCTCCCGGCGTCCGATTATAGCTTCCTCAAGCTGCCTCGCAATCTCGAGGAGCTCCAAATCCTCAGGTTTGCGCTTTTTTCTATCTGGGTTCTGCTGAAATTTGTTGTCTTTTGGTGAGATGAAGCTAATTGAGAGATCTGGGGTTGTTTTATGAAGAGTGGTTTGGCTGTTTCCTTGATTGCATTAGTCGATTGAGTTTGTTAGATCGAGAATCCGGAAGTTCAGATGATTGAGATTTGGAGTTTTGACCCTTTGTTTTTTAGATTGGGGGGAAAGGGAAGATCATTGCTCTGAGCCTTTAGCTGAGTGCTTGCATGTTGTGCCTATGTTAGTTTGGTGTCTCTAAATTATTGATATTTTTGCAAGGATTCCATTGAGAGATTGGGTATGCTACTTTCTGATTTGAAGGATAGTGTTGAAGAGAATGCATGTTTCCTTTTACAGCTCAGCATGCTCCATCCATGTTTTGGTCATTGACTCTTTCTGCTTGATGTTCGACATGTTGATATATTTATCTTGTTTTGGTGGCAGGGATCACCTTGAGACTTACACCAGTGATTACACGGCACAAGTTCTGGTCGGTTACTGCGTGGTCTATGTCTTCATGCAGACTTTTATGATCCCGGGGACTGTGTTCATGTCATTGCTGGCCGGAGCCCTCTTTGGGGTTTTGGGAGGTGTGGCTCTGGTGGTGTTCACTGCCACTGCTGGAGCTTCTTCTTGCTTCTTCCTGTCAAAGATCGTTGGCCGCCCTCTGGTCTTCACTCTCTGGCCTGACAAGCTCGTGTTCTTCCAAGAGCAGGTGAGAAAATCAAATCCCTATCAACCATTTGCTGAAGTTGGCTATCAAACTGGAGTTGTGGCATGAATGTTCTTTGTTGTTGATTTCTTACCAGGTGGCACGTCGAAGGGAAAGATTGTTGAACTACATGCTGTTCTTGAGACTGACACCTACACTGCCAAACACATTCATCAATGTGGCCTCGCCTATTGTAGATGTGCCTTACCACATCTTCCTCCTGGCGACCGTCATTGGGCTCATCCCTGCTGCTTATATTACCGTCAAGGTAACTCTCCTCCTACTTTCGCTTTACCTACGCGTACTTTGGAGTTTGGGGTTACTAACAAATAAGTTACCGAAGCTTGGAAATTGATGATGTAATGCGTACAACTGGGGTGATTGTTATAGCTATTCTTTTTTTTATGATAAGCTGAAATTCAGAATTCTCAGTTACCGGTTAATCGGGGACCAATTATGTAGTAATTGTCCCAATGTACAACTTCAAGTGCATGTAGCGAGGTGACATTGTTTCTGTGCCTGTATTGTGCACAGGCTGGAATAGCTCTGGCAGAGCTGCAGTCAGTGACGGATCTATACGACTTCAACTCCATTGCGGCTATGTTCCTCATTGGTGTCGTTTCCATCACCCCCACGCTGATGGGCAGCAACGAACAGAAGAAGAAGAAGGCCAGTGCTGCGATCGAATAGCAGATGACGACGACGATGATGGTGGGCGTCTGTGTGTCTCTGGAAGAACAAGAAAGGTGCTTTAAGGCAAAAGGGGTCCGTTTCTGTACAGACCAGCACAGCACTAGAAGGAAAAGAAAAGAGAAGGGCAAAAAAAAATGTACAGCTGCTGCTGTTAGTGAAGTTGAGATGGATGGCTGACTGTTGATGATGTGGGAATGTGTAAATTTGAGTGCTTTAGTAAAGTATCATGGGGAAGGAGGGAGTTGGGATGGAAGGGGATGGGAATTGGGATGGTGTTAGGAAGGGGAAAGGGAGGTGGGAGTGGACATTGTTGAACTTCAATCCTCTAAACCGTTGTATATCCCCACCTTTTAACTTGTGCTGTAAGGAAATAAAGATTACTTTTTCCGTTGCCCTCTGTTTCTTTCTTCATGCCTTATGATTCTTGTGCCAATTATAATCATAACTGATATCACCAGTTATCATGGTTGAGCGAATAATAATCATCATTGAGGGTGACTTTAAGGATAATCCCTTGATCTAGATAAACATAAACAGTAGGTTACACAAAGAGAGCAATGTAAAGACGTAAAAGGGTATCTTGGAAGTAAACAATCCCAAGCCTACATTCACCAAACAGTTGAACCAAACTAAATGAAATCGTACACTGCTATAAAATGAAGTGTTCAACAAGGTAGTCCCTCCTTTGGACTTGAAACTGAAGCATAACTCTTTGATTGTGCGATGACACAATCAAGAACCAACAAGCTTCTTATCTGGGTTTCTTCGCTTTCTTCCAGTTGCTGCTATTTGGAGTCTCTAGCTTCCTCTTTTTCCCGGTTGCTTTCCTTCCACTACCCCCACCATCATTCCCTCCTCCAAGAGCCTTCGCCTTCCTTGCTGCGACAGAAGGTCTCTTCCCGTCACGTGTTTGTTCGCGACGTTTCTTGAACATAGTCCTGCTCGATGTTTGGAGTTGTGAAGTGGGTTTCTTCTGCACCCCAGACTTCTTTGCTCGCCAACCCTCATACGCGGTGGTGTTTGCCTGACCGAATCCTCCTGTAGGTTTGTTCCCCCTCACAAACTTCTTATTGCTGGGTGACTGACTTCTGTCTCCCGAAAATGGATTGGCCCTCTTGGTTGGGGTAGTAGAATCTTGTTGCCGTGCACGAGACAGCCTGATTTCTCGATCCCGAAGTTTTAGGCTTCGCTTCTGCATTACCAAGTTGACAGATTCCTGTACAGGCAGCAAATCGTATGAGCAAAATCTACAGAGTATAGACTAAGTAAATGTTTGAAAAAATTAGTTGCCATGCAGCAAGAAGCTCTTACCTTATCCTTAAGCAGGAGATAAGCAATACCCTTCCCCAGACCATTGTTAGGATCTCTAACAACTCGAACCCCTTCGATGCCAGAACTCAGACCCTTGATGCCGGTGAAAAGCTGATAAATTTCTTCATCCTATAAAGGGGTAAAAGAAAAAAAACAAATTGAAGCAAAGCCGACAAATGAATGAAGGGAACCAACAAATATATAAGCAACATTGCATGAACCAAGAACGGAAGAGCTTGCACACCTTGACATCAAATGGGAGGTTGCCCAAGAAAATAGTTCTTTTATTATCGTAGAGCGGAGCCTCCTCTCCCTTCAATTTTTTTCGAGGAGGGCAAGCCCTGTCAACACGAATATGGTTTCCTGCAACCTACAATTGCACATAAGGTACACATCACCATTTTTCATGCACAAGCAAGCAAGGCCCAAGTTGTGCAAAATTGGAAAAAAAAAGTGAAAGTAAAGCAGAATGTCGAACAACTTTAGCCTTCTCAAAGTAAAACATACCACTGCCATATTATGTGAGAGAGATGCCTCAGCAGATTCCATTGTTTTATAGACGATGTATGCATGAACACTGCAAACATGAAATTAGTCAAGTCGTTAGTACAGAAACACTAAATTTGTCAAGGTAAAATTAAATCTTTCAAGGACAAGATTCCTTTCACAAGTACACCTGTGTAACTTAGCTGGAAAAAAACTTTTCTTAGATGAATATAAGCTAAGTGCAGGAAAAAAAACTTACAAGAGGAGGAATCACCCATTCTGATATATAAGGTTTGAAATGTATTGAGGCATAATAAAGTCTAATGAACATTGAATCTAGAGAGATACCGCTACAACAAATTCATTACATGCATTGAGAAAGTAATTGGACATCACTTTTCTTGTCCATCCTCAAATATATAGTACAGATAAATCTTTTATACTTAAGCCAAGGGATCCTGTCTACTAATGGTAACCAACAAAACATGACTGGAATGTCACCACAAGGATGAAAGACTGGATCTTGTCGATACCGATCCTCTTAACTGATTTCTTGGTCAGGCCCTAGTAGAAGCTCAACCCCAGTTCTTCCTGCTACCTCTGCTTTGGTCCTAAGACAGCATTGGTCGAAGCTAATACTCAATGAAATCAACTTCATTTACCAAACCACCGAATGCAACTACCCTTGTTAGCAACCTGGTAAGCTACTAGCAACAAAGATGGCTATTAACTATCTACAGCTCAACTCGGCTCTCAATACAAGAATACGTCAAGCAAAATTTCCACAGAAACAGACGAACTGACATACCTCCCAGCAGCATCATTGATTTTGTTCTGCATAATGGCACCCTTTCTGGGTATCTTAGTCTGCTCAAACACAAAAGACCAATACAACATCAATGCAGAACACCCCAGAAATTCGGCATCTTCGGTCACATCCAACCATATAGAATGACCATGATAACATTATGAACCAAACAACTTACATCCATAACTGGCACAGAACGGATTCTCACAGACTCAACTTCCCCGAACTGGCTGAACTCCTTCAACAATGCTTTCTTCTTCACCTTCAATGGCAAATTTCCAACAAACACAGTCCTCAACAGCTTTTCCTCATCATCAAATCCTTCCTCTTTCTTCAACGTCTCACCAGCATCCGCATCAGGCTTCTTCCTCTTCCCTCCAACCCTAACCTCGGGTTCCGGACTCTCTACACCCGGCCCGTACCTCTTCTCCTCGTATTCCCTCTCGACCTCTTCCCTCTTCCTCTTCTTCTTCTCCGCCTTCTTGTTCCCGCCCAAGTCGTTCTCTCCTCCTTCTGCTGCTGCTAATACCGCCGATTCCAACTTTACTTCCTTCTTCTTCTTCTTCTTCCTCTTCATCTCCGTCTCTTCTCCAGAATCAAAACTGGAGTCTTCCACTTTGTCTCGCTTCTTCTTCTTCGGCTCGGCATCGATTTCAGGACCCTCAGCTTCGGATACTTTAGGGTGTTCCTCGGGCTTCCGTTTGAAAGGGTTTTCGTCCGAGAAGATGGAAGGAATGGCGGCAGTTCCTTCCTCGGCGGCGCTGAAGAGCGTTCTGAAGATGTTCGATGCCGGAGCAGTGTCTTCTACCATTACTTCGCCCTTCTTCTTCCCCATTTACAGCCCCTTTTTTCAATTCAATAAAACTATACGAGAAATACCCCTCTCTTTCACTATTCTTCTCCGAGAAACGATCCGGAATAGGAATTGAAGATTCCGGCGATAACCCACTCGGATTGAGACGACGAGGGAACGGAAGCTCTCAGCGTTTTCTAGCCGCGCCGCCGTGTTCTGTGTATTTGGGGTTTGCTTGACGGCACGGAAGGGGGAGAAAGGGATTTCTTTCTCGTATTGTAAAGGGCGCGTTGCGGTTACCGGGGATAAAATACCCTCCATACCACTAAAGTATGAGAATTGGGGCAAGGGTACCACTAAAGTAAAAATAGGGCACCAAATACCATTAAAGTCAATTAAATGTGCATATTTATAATTTTCCGTCTATTGACTAACAAATTCATTCATTGACTAACAGGTTGAATAGATTATTATTATTTTAACAACTCAGCACTAGCTAATAGCTATAAACCAACGAGATGCCGAGTCAACCATTTTTGGCCACATCCCCTTCCACATTTGCTGAACCAAACGCACACCACAAAGGAAAAATAATAAAATAATATCCCAAACCTTCGCCATCGAAAAATCTCGGTCCAATCTCAATCGCCATATTTGGGTTTCCAAATCTTTGCTACCTAAACGACTCATTACCGACGGGAGGCGAATGCAACGATATGGTGTCGAGCCCCTGATCATCGTGTAACTTCAGAGGGCAGCGACTGTGAGTTTGTGGGTGCAGAGGACAAGATTTATTTGGGGGCGAGAAGCGTTGTTCCTAGAACCCCCATCGCCAGAATCAATGCCACCCAATAAAGATTGCAGACCCTAGCGGCATTTGGGGTTTGGGAGTCAGAGATTGGATATAGGAGATTGATGGTAGGAGGAGCTGGAAAGGTAACGCAGTGGCGGTGGAGCTGGAAACGAAACTGTTGGGCTTCCGGAGAGTCGATGACCGGCCGCGAATGGCGGCGGAGGGGCGATGGGGCCAAGAATTTCCTTCCTCAATATCAGCTAAAAAGTGGATAATGATGTCAACGAGGGCCTTGTTTTGGTAGAGCTGCCGTTGGAAGCGGTGAAGCTGGCCCAGAGCGACTAGCTTAGAGGCTTGGCGGTGGAGATGTCGTTAAGAGAGATGGCGGTGATTTCTAGCGGGATGGGATTGAAGCATCTTGCGAATCCTCTCCCTTGTGATTTCAGAGAAGAAGAAGAAGAGTAAATGAGAGAACCCTAAATTTGGGTTGGCAGAGGCTATGTTTTCCCATTTTCTTATTTTTTCCCCTTTGTATGGTATGAGTTTATTTCACGAAATGGGGAATGGAGTGTGTCTTTGGTCTTTAATTAATGATGATGAGGTGTTAAAATATTAATATTTTATTCAATCTGTTAGTCATTGAATGAATCCATTAGTCAATGGACAGGAAATTGTAAATATGCACATTTGATTGACTTTAATGGTATCTTGTGCCCTATTTTTACTTTGGTGGTACCCTTGCCCCAATTCTCATACTTTAGTGGTATGAGGGATATTTTACCCCGGTTACCGGAGATTAGGAACCGCGGGGCTGGGTCGGTGCCCGAACCAAAACTCGCGAACCCGCTATGTTAAACCGGCAACTGTTTTTTGCCCCTAGCAAATGGATGGATCCATGGATTGGTAGATTGGATTGGTGAATTCATGGATTGGATCAAGTGAATTGGTGGATTATCCATGAATCTAAATGACATCCTCAACCTTGGACCAATATGTAAAATGTGAAAAGTTTAGATACTAAAATGTTATACTGGAAATTTTTAGGACCAGAACGTAATTTTCCAATGAGATTTTTCGCATAAAAATTAAACTTTAGGTACCAAAATGTAAAATATAAAAAGTGTAGGTATCAAACCGTAGTTTGCCATTTGGATCCATGAATCCACCAATCCAATTGGATTTGGATTAAATGGATTAGATTATGTGGATATTGTTAATGAATTGGTAGATTGGATTGAGAATTGTCACATCTACCTGAAATCGTTTCCTATTTAAATTAATAAATAGTGATCAGCCTTCTACATCCAATTAGGATGAATAACTATGTGATACCCAATCGAATTCGAATCAATTTTGTGAGGAAAAATTGAACTAATATTATCTTTGGTACAATTTTGACATTTTAAATATCTACGTCGAATCCACCCAAATATGTGTTTTAACTATGTTTTACATATACTCTCTCACTTAAACGCTTAGTTTATCCATGTTCCTCAAATAATAGAATTATCTCTTAGACCTAAAATCTTATTCATTTTCTCTTCAAAACTTCAATTAAAATTGACATTCTAAGCAAAAATCTAGATTATATCTGTTTGCACCTAAAAAATAATAGTGTACCACATTGATTACTTACAATGCACTAACTACCTTTATAAGGCCAGATCATTAATAACAATTAGTGTTATTTGAACTGGGCCTCATGATACTAGTTTTTAAGCCCAAATCACTAAGTCTCCAAGAAGGAGCTAGTCTCGTCGCGAGTTGGGTAGCCCGACGTGGTCGCGAGATCTAGACCGCGTTGGCATCAAATCTAGAGCCCGACGTGGTCGTTAGATCGAGACCGCGTTGGCATCAAAGCTAGAGCCCTACGTGGTCGTGAGATCTAGACCATGTCAGCATCAAATCTAGAGCTCCACGTGGTCATGAGATCTAGACCACGTTGGCTTCAAACTTAGAGCTCTACGTGGTCATGAGATCTAGACCACGTTGGCGCCAAATTTAGAGCCCGACGTGATCGCGAGATCTAGACCACATCGTGAGACCATGTCCAAGATCTGATTTAACAGGTTGGAAGTAAGAAGGCAAGTCATGTGGGAGAGACAAGTAACAAGACGACAGTTACAGGATGAAGAGCAGGCAGTTAACGGAGAAACCGCCGTGTATCCTACGTGTCAACCACGTCCGAGAAAGAAGGAGAGCAGTTCTTTTTGGAAGTTACTCTATGACAGTTTCTACGACGGTTATCATCTCAAGGGCTACAAATAGGAGGAGGAGTCGACAGAGGAGAGGGTCGCCAAATTTACACCAGACAACACAATGTCAAATTTTATCCCTTTATCCTTTCCTCTTCAGTTTTAGTCGTAGTCGTAGATCTGGAGCTCTCACTGAACCTCCATAGGAGTAGGAGTAACTTAATGTAGATTTGTCTCGTGAGTCGTGTAAACATCGAACACCCTCGTTCGAACTGTGTTTGAAGAGGTGTGAACCGTGTCTTAGTGATCGTTGTCCGAAGAAGTCAAGGTGCATTCAATTCGTTTCAACGCAAGTTTTCTCGCCGGAGAACAATATGCAAAACTTTATATGTGATTGTTCGAAGATGGTGCGAGTGCCCTGAACCACAGAGTTGGTTTTGGTTTGGTATGTTATATTACATCCCGTATAGTTTTAATCATAAGATGGTTATAATTTTAAAACCATGATTGGTGAATTATATATAAGAAAATCGGTCCAGTTTTCATCCCTACTTCCCATCCACAAGCCTGGCCCGAGGAAGGGTATCGACGGTCAAATGGATTTGTAATCAATCAGTCCAAATAAGAAGCCCCCTGTACAAGGGCCCAATAGGCCTGCCGCCGGCTATACGAAGAAGGGTATCGACGATCAAATGGATTCGTAATTGATCAGTCCAAAGAAGAAGCTGGCACATCAGTGCAAAGAAGAAACAAGGCAAGTTACCATGGAAGGTGGGATTCTTCATGTCTTGGGATTTACATTACTGTATATTGTATTGTATAATAATATATACGCCTTCTTCTAGCCGCCCGCTAGCTATATATTATAGGTAGAGAGAGATAGTTTCCTTCATCCAACAAAGAAACACAAAGTGAGGTAAAAGAAAAAGGAAGAGGGGAAGTTGAACGACATCGACTCAGGATTTCAGGTATTGGAACTATGATGATCGCGAAGAGGCTGACCATACTATTGTTGGTAGTTTTCGCGACGGTTTTACTTCCACAGACGGCACGCGCCATTGAATATGGGAAGCCTTGTTCCTGCTGGATCGGTTCCCTCTGCCCCGAGTGCGGCTGGGGAGGGTGCTGTGACAAAGGCGTGTGCATAAATTGCTATTAGAGTATGGGTAGTATGAGCAATATAATATTATACTGCGAGTATTATTATTATTATTATGTAACTGGATTTTATATAACTTTCATGTGATTTCAATAACAAAGTGCAACAATTTCCACCGAAATTTATCAGTTTGGTATCAAAGCCTGGTCTTCAAATACAAATCTAATTACCTTCTTTTCTTTTTGTTCAGTCACCCACCATCATGAGTTACTTTCTCCCGGAGGACTATCTAGCAACGGCTAGCATACGTTTGGCGTATGCAATGCAGTCAAAATCGCGTTTTAAAACTTAAAAACTTACGATTTTACGTTTTTAGGTCATCAAAACGCTTTCGTTTCCATATAAAAACTTAAGTGTATAAAATCGGGGTAAATTGCGTTTTAAAACTTAAAAGCTTACGCTTTTACGCTTCTAGTTCACCAAAACGCTTTACGTTTTTACGCTTTTAGTTCACTAAATGAGTATTCTTTTCATGAAATTAATTATAAAAAGTATATTTTAAAAATAAATCACCAACAATATGACACATTTGAGATTAAAAGATACATACCCTGTACTTGGATGCATTCTCAACTTCAATAGAGTAATCTAATTCACCAACTAGGCTCTTCCCAAATTCGTTAGCCTAGAGGATAAAGTGGCTTATTGTTAAAATTTATGTTTACGAACTTATTATTAAGATGCTACAAGTTGCTCTACTTGAGGCATGAATTGCATGTATTTAACTTATCTAAATTTCGTGCATTCATATTTTACATAGTATATGTCCTAGTTTTTTAGTTATTTTTCAGTATGCTTCAAAAACTTACGTTTTTACGCTTTGAATCTACGCTTTACGATTTTATCCCTTTTCCGCTTCTAGGTAGAATCGCGCTTTTGACTGCATTGGGCGTATGCATGGATGCTTGGTCGGTGGGATGTGCGAGTTGAAAATATGTTTGTCCATCGGAACAAATATGTTCTTCGGCCGCTTTGCGGGAGGAACGGGCGGGCTTTCTACGCTTCACCCGTCCGTTTTGATTAAAAAAAAAACAAAATTGTTTAAGTAATTTTGTATGTTTTAAGGCTTCGGCCGCTTTGCGGGGGGAACGGGCGGGCTTTCTACGCCTCACCCGTCCGTTTTGATTTAAAAAAAAACAAGAATATTTAAGTAATTTTTTATGTTTTAAGGCGATAAATTCAAACTAGTTTTGTGCCCGCCCGATGGGCGGCGAGTTACATTTGTTTGTACCTTTACTTCTATTATATGTCATTTTTCCAAAGGTATCGGACTCCTAGTTTCCATATTTATTTATTATTGTAATCTATTATTCGTGTTTCATCATATATGAGGGGCACTTTGAATTTAAAAAAAAAGATATGAGGGGCTCTACATTTAATCAAAGTTTTAATCACGATCAACAATAATGTCAAACAACGTTGTAACTTCATCACTGCTTGGAAAATAGTATTCATACCATCTAAGCTTTGATTGACCTGCAATTTTCAACTTCATAAGTTGTACATGGTTTAAGCTAGCGTACGCCACCTTACCGTACTCATTTCGAGTTTTGCTATTTAGACCATTAATTAACGGAGTTTGGGACATGATACTATACCATAGTCTCTAATGGGAGAACCTCATTCTCTAATTCTCAATCCAAATCGTAAGATTCATTTGATACAAATAACCAATGATTATTATTTGTCAAAATATATTAAAGAAAACGTAACTAATAGGTGTGAACGAAGGTGTATATTACACCTCGATTGTCAAAATATATTAAAGTACAACCAATCTTGCTATGCTTCTATATTACCTTCAACATTTTATGAATGATATCAAATCAAAATGTTAGTTATAGAGACACATTTTTCTTCGCTTCACATTATCATCCAATATTAAATGTGTGACTGGTTGTAATTGGAATTGTGTGATAACATAATACAAACATAAAGGCGCCATGTTGTGAAATTAGTACAATAGATGAATTTACAGGACATTGGTCAGAGTATTGATCTTGCGTTGGTTTTATAGGACACTGGTTCGTGTATGTCTCGCACTGTTATACAGGATATCAGTCGGGGTATGATCCCGTAGTGGATTTACAGGACACCAGTCTAGGTACGATCCACGGTGGTGTACATTACATCTAATGTACTATCTGGGGAGTGTATGACCTTGCAAATTAAGAAGTAAAAAGCACTGAATCAACCTAACTATGCATGTGATTGAATTCTTGTGTAAAATTACTTATGATGTGGTTAAGTGATGACTTCCTATGATGTGATATATGAAATGTGCATGTCGATGATGATGGTTATGTGATGGTTTTCTATGGTGTTTTAGACAATGATTTACCATTAGATGGTGTGATGTTTCGCTATGTTGGGACGGGGTTAAATGGTAATGCCGATATGATGTGATCCTTGATGCGTACATGTTTATACAGTGAGTTATCAAGAGGCTGGGTGATGGTCCTTATGTTGTTAATGTATGAATTATTTGAGTTTGAGATGATGAA